ATAACAGAGTTCCACCCTCAGTCATGGTGCAGAAGGCAGCCTTCATACAATATGAAGGCAAAATGTTTTTCTTGTTCTCTCTGATTGAGACTGAAGCTTATCTTGAAATCATCCACTGCAGTTGGTGCTCAGCAGTCTCAGTCTGACAGAAATGGGTCTGATGGAGGTTCAGCTTCACCTTCTCAGTGATCATTTTAGCAGAATATGCAGGAACAGGCTCAGTTAGCAGCACCTCTGGTTCACTCAAGTCAGGGCAGTTTCTATGACCGTGAGGATTTTTAGGCATGGAAATGCAGAGTTCACAGCTAGGACAGGTGCAGTGCTGATCTGCTAAAGCCTAAGGCAGCAAGACCAGGTTAGCCCCACTTGAGATGCATTAAGGTTTCCTGTGAAGGTAACACGAAGTTCACATTGCAACACGCATCACCTCCCTGCTCGCTGAGGCTCCCAGGAGATTGCCAGGAGTGCTTCAGAGACTGCAGCTGCTGACTGCAGGCAAGTCAAGACAGTGCTTTAGCTTGTAAGCTGGAGATGACAGAGAAGCCCAGTCCTTGAAAAATCAAGAATTCCTTTGTGATCCAGGCTTTCAGGGCAGGTTTACACAACAAGCCAGTTCCAACAAGCCTAGACTGCAGCTTCTCCTTCTGTTTCTTGGCTAGCCCAGGCCGTTCTGCTACAACAACACAAGCAAAGTCCACTGTCACAAACACCATCTGCTGAAGAGGAGGAAGGTTTCACACTGTGTCAGTCTCTTTTATCTCAGTGTAGGCTCTGCACAGGAGCTGGCTGAAGTTAGAAAAGCAAAGGAGACCCCAGCAACAGCTTTTCCTGGTGCTGTCTGTGGGCAGTTACTGATTTGAGTAGAAGAGGACTCCAGGGAGGCAGGACAGCACACAGGCAGCTGGTGCATCACATCACTCTTCAGGCTTTGGCTGAAAATAGCATCAGAGTTTTCCCCCCAAACTACATGAAGTCCCAGGCAACAGGAGCAGCCCTGCTCAAGAGCTAAGCCAGCGCAGCTGAGCTCAGTCTGTTTTGGATCAGGTCACTTCAGAAACAGAAGCAGCAAGAGCCAGGCTGGGACTGGCTGTATGAGGAACCATCATTTTACATCCTCCTCCCATATCCCAGAGGAACAGCCACCCACACCTCAGCAGCAGCAAGGCTTCTTTAGGCACCCAACAGGTACTTGAGCTTCTCTGGAAACAGCATCTTCAGATCACAGCCCAGCACCATTGTCAGACTGAACAGCTGAGGCAGGAATGGCATTCTAGAGGCTGTAGAGTAAATACAGGAGAGCAGAGCACATTTCTGTAGCACTACAGGTTGCACACACAGAGCAGAGAGCAGCCACCCAGCCCTGGGTGCTGAGGGGATCCATACCCTACAAATGGCCATGGGGCTGAGCAGGATTGGGCCAGAAGGACACCAGGGCAACACAAGACTGACCAGGAGCACTTCCCTGGCTGGACAGGAGCAGAGCAGGTAGGACTGGGCAGAAGCAAGGCTTAACTGGGTGCTGGCAACAAGCTGAGACCTCAAGCAAGTTTGTGGGGAGTACAGTCCTTCTCTGCTCCCCAGAGATCTGTTTCTCACATGTCTTCCTCATGGATGAACCCTCTTTATCCCAGTCCAAAGCCTCCCTCATGCTGAGCAGGATGCCCTCCTTTCCCTGAAAGCCCACACAGATGATGGTCCTGCTCCAGGACCAATGCTCCAGGGTTTGGGATCTGGGACCCAGGGCATCAGATCTTCAGGGAGGCTGCAGAACAGATATGGATCTCCAGCACAATGCCCAGGGCTTCAGATCAACTCCCCCTCAGCCTGGAGCCAAACCAGGACGAAGCTCCAGCTCTTCAACAGCAAAAAGCTGAATTAGTTGAAGTCATGGTGCCAGCTGTGTATTTAAACAGGAATTACACAGGGCTTCTGCTGTGGTAATGCAGCAGGTGCTGGCAGTGCTGCTAAGACAGATGAGGAAGGAAGGGCAGTGGGCTGGACCTGGGAGAGGTGCTCAGGGAACAGGGGGGCTCCTGATTCCTGCCCTGCTCACATGTGGGAAAGGTACCCCAGCAGTTCAGCCAGCCCATAGCACCGTGCTACTTTGAGCTGCCTGGCTGCTGCTGAGCTTTGGCCACCATAAATCTTAGGTCTGGGAAAGCAAAACATCACTGGGAGCAAGTGCTCACAGCCACTGACTCCTGGCTGAGGTGCCCTGGCCATGAACTGGGATCCTATGGCATGAGGCCCTGACCAAACACAGACATCAAAGGTGGTGCCCGTGCCAAATTGCAGCCTCTTGAAAGAAGATGTTTGAGAAGTGATTATGAATTTGGAGCCTCCCAAAGCGGGCTAGCAGCTGGATCTTCGGGATGAATAAAACCCTGCCAAAAATTAAGATCTGTTTCTGCAAAGCTGAAACAGCAAACTTGTTTGTCTTTCCTCCTTCCCCTCACAACCACGTTGTTTTAAACATTTACAGAGACCTTTATACTGTTTAAATAATGGTTGGGGTGGAAGGGGGTTGTTTCCAGTTTTTTTTGCCAGCCGCTCCAAGTCAGCAGCACTTCACATGCAACTTCTGGAAAACCAGGTGCTGCTGTTTGTGACAGCACCACCCACACTGTCCTGGCTCCCCCTGCCTCACCCTGACCCCCCTAAATCTCAGTCCTGAAGAAGGGGTTACCCTGAGACCCTCTGCAGCAGTTCCCTCCCTCTGCAGTGTGCTGGGTGCAGTGCCGGGTTTGTGGGATAAAGGGGTGCATGTCCAGCTCCCCACAAACCCCCCAACCCCCCTGAGGCAGCCACGGTGGGGCTTTGTGCCGCTGACCTTGGCAGAGAGGAGGAGGAGGAGGATGCCGGAGCAGCTGAGCGTGTTCTGCCGCCCACCTCCTTCAGCAGCCGGGAGGTGAGAGCTGAGCAAAGGGAGGAGAACACTCGGGATGTGCAGGGGGGGATGGCTAAAGACAGAGCGACCTTGCAGCAGCAGCACTGTGCTGGGAGCTGGATCAGAGAGAAAACCGTGTGAGCCTCTCCCTTGTAGGCAGACTCCGGGAATTTGGGGGTTGTGTTGGGCTGGCTGAGCTTTATTTGCGACCTGTGGGGAAAAGGAGAGAGTAAGACTGTCCTGGAGAGCTGGAGGCTTTCTGCAGGATGTTTGGATTGAGTGAAAGGACAGAGAAGTGAATATGAGACATGCTTTGGAAGCAGGATGTGGGATAGAGAAAATGTTTATACAGACAAACTCAGGCTAATCCATGGGAGGCTTTAAAGACCATAAAAGCCATCTGCAAGTGGAGAGATCACATTCTGGAGGAAAACAATGGTTTAAAACAACGCTACTCTCTTTGATCTACTCCGAAGAAATCACACTTGTGAGCCTGAAGACAAGGCTAGGATAAGTCGATCCATGAGTTCTGCCCTTACAGTGAGGGCTGACAGCAAAGGCCATTTATGGTCTTTTCCTGTAGAGGAACTTGGGGCCACCAAACAAAACCACCAGGAGCCAGACATGGAGCAAACAAAAGGAAGCTGGTCCCTCGCCTCCCCACAGGAGGGAATGATTGTTACAGATTCTCTGACAAGTTTGTGGGAAACAAAGTTACTGAAATCTTTGCTCCAGAAAAGAGAAGAGGCATTAGCAGGGGCAGTGAACTGACCTCTGGCTCTCAAAATCTGCGCCCCTCAAGTGGCTGGTGGCTGGAAAGGTGCTGGGAGATGTACCATCAATTATCACCGTTCCTGCATTCCCTAAGCAGTCATTTTGGACATCTCTTGGAAAAATGACATGAGTCTGGGTGGCCCTTGGTCTGATGCCCTGCAGCAGGGCTCCTTCAAGCAGATGTCACTGGTAAACTGTGCTCAAGAAACATTTTTTACAGGCAGCAGGAGGAATAACCACTGTCCTTTAACCAGCTGCCCTCTGTCATCTTGCAAAGCCTCAGCTTACCTTCAGACTTGGTCAGGCATTTGGCCTGCTTTCCCTGCACAAGGGCAAGAAAAATTAACCAAAAGGTCCTGAAATAATGTGACCTTTCATTATTTAAAACATGTTTTTTCCCATTAAGCAATGAAAGCAGCAGAGACGCTATTCTCAAAAGAACCTCAAAACAATTATCTCCTTCCTCTGGAATAAATGGTGGGAAGCAAGAGGTGAGCTGGAGATATGGCATTTGCAATTCTCCTTTTTCCATCTGCAGCAGGAGGAAATGTTGATTTGCATTATGCTCTGACACAACTGCTTGACCTCAGTGCAGCTTATGCTAATTACTTGCAAGAAAATGCTTGTTTGCTCTGTGTGTGCCCAGCATATTTCTGGTATCTGAGCCTGATAGATGAAATATTGCTCCCAGCACAGTGCAGATGGGGATGGCTGAACCAATGGCTGGTTGGCCAAGTAATCCAAGCAAACAGGAACACTGTGATAAAAGAGGGCCTGAGAAGTTTCCCATTCATATCACCTGGGTATTTTTATACCAGCTCGCTCCCTTTCTGCTTACCATGCTGTAATTGCTCAGGCTGACACAGAAAATAGAGAGAGGATCCATCTCTTTGCTCAAAGCAAGGACAACTCTCCTTCCCTTGTTCATCTAACTTGGCCTAAAAGGAAATCTGTGTCCTGGTCTCAGTAGCTTTACAATGTTAAAGTTTTCCTGGTACCTTTGGGAGCATTTGTGTAGCTGTACACATCTCCTATCTCTGGGTATGCTCAGAGGGTGTATATTTCAATTAAACATGCTCATCCATGAAGAAACTGGATTCCTGCTGCTACTGTTCAACAAATGCATCAGTCTGGCCCCAGGATTTATCTGTGCATGCACTGCATTGGAACATTTTGTGTGTGTTCTCTGCTCTGGTTGCTCCTCTAAGGAGCTGGGAACAGAATCTGGCTGGCTCTGACAAGGTGGTCGCTTTGCCTGCCTGGGACACAGACCTGAAGGATCAAAAGTGTTGATCAGCTTGCCTCCATCCCACTGACACAATCTATTCAAGATCCATTCTGTGTCACACTCAAAAAACAGTACCTTGAGACTGGCTTTATTGCATTGTGCCCAAAACTCTGTTGAGAAACAGGGGAAGAAGCAGGAGGAATAGCTGAGTGACTGTAGCTGCAATTCCTTCTGCGCCATCAGGAGAAAGGGGAACATTTTCTCTTCTCAACCTGCAGAATCCATCCCAGAGAAGCCATCCCTCGTTTGCAGGGATATTCTGTAAGCACAAAGCTCTTGTTATTCAGTGCACAGGCCTCCAGTTACAGCAGAGTGTTCCTGAGCCTGCTGAAGTTCTACATAAGCACACGAGACATGCTGAGAAATGGGCTTAGCTTTAAACGTGTATTTAATATTAAATGAAGGCTTAAGAGCTTTGCTGCCAGGAGCAGGGAAGGATGTTTTGTTTGCAGTGTGCCTTGTCCTGTGTGGGAAGACATTGCTTGTCTGCTGCTGAGCTCCAAAGAGCCTTTCTGCCATTTCAGGGGGATGATTTGAAGCAACTGACACCAGGATTTAGGACCTTGTGGCAAGCTTATTTTTTTTTTTTTAATAGTAGAGATCTTTTGTCTCTGAAGTCTGGCACCTGAAATACCAGCAAACAATCTCCAGCCTTACCCAAAGGGATTATTTTTTGTTGGGCACCCAGCATTTCTGACAGAAACAAGCATCAATCCCTGCACCTCAGCATCTCCTCGTGCTCTGTACACTGAAACCTGGCAGGGATCTGCCAGGGGGGAACTGCCTTTTAATGGGTTCAAACACCCTGACTGCTTCTCCCTGGCCACATGTCAAAGATAACCACAGCAAAGCATCTCTGAACCCCCAGATGTTTTGTTTCTCCAGGCTTTGTGGACTCCTGTCTGCAGGGTGGGACCAGGGCAGGCAGAGGGGAAATCAGGAGGAAATCAAATTACTGTCAATAAGCGTGGAGAGTTTCTCCCTTGAGGGATTTACAGGCAGCTAAGAGGAGAAATGGGTGGAAAACTAAAAGATGACCTTGTCCTTCAATCTGAGCATGAGATCAAAGCCCAGCTGAAGATGGAGTGGTTCTGTCATTGATTTCCATTTGCATTTCCATCCTTCCCTCCTCTGTCAGATACTGATCTCTCATATGATTTGTGGGAGGAAGCAATCCCCTCCAAATCCTCTGCAGGGAAATTGAGAGCAGCCCCCAAAAGTTCATGTGTAGAAGATCTACGTGCCCTTTTCATAGCTTTTCTACCTTGTTCAACCTTTCAGAGACTGGAGCAGGAAAATACCATAACTGATGGAGCCTGGCCACAGGAAATCTATCCAAATTATGTCCAAACTGCTCTTGGCAGCAGCACTGCAGCTGCCTGAGGAAGGAGAGTGAGTTCAAACACGACCCTCAGAGCAGGCTGTAACTTCCTTCACATCTGGGAAGGTTCACAGACCCTCAGAAAAGCCACCACATCCTGGTGACCTCGGGGATGCTCTGCCTTATCCTGCAGCTCCCGGTGAAGGTTCCGTGCTGGAGCTCTGTGGGACATGGTCGCCCTCTAAAGGGAAGAGATGAAAAAATTCGATTAATTCCCATACAGAAAGTTGCAGAGAATGAGGAAAGCGTTGGCATGGGCAAGGTGATGGCTATCCCTCTCCACCCAGAGTCTTTGCTCTGACTCCAAAACATCCTTGGAAACATTATCCATGCACTACAAACATGAATTATTACATCCCATTGACTGCACACTTAGCTCATGCTGTTCTCTTGAGTTTTAATTGTTGAGTCCATTCATTATTTGGTACCTGGCAGAGCTTACCCTTTTATAGGCACACATGGGCTTTGTGGGCTGAGCAGCTTCCACCCAAAAATCAAAATAGTGACAAATCCCTCAGCACATCCAAGTTACATCTTCTCTCCTTCTGGGATCTGAACTCTGCTTAAATGGGATTTTAGTTTTATTTTTTAAAACTTGCCTCCCTTGGGGCCTTGAAGGGCTAATTCTAGTTGAATAAGATGGGTTATATTTGCTTATTTAAGAGGCTGAAAGCAGCCAGGCAGATCGCCAGCCAAACCTTCATGGAGAAAAGGCTGCTTTACATTCCCATTCCCTCGAGCTCTTTACCATGAGGATGGATAAGCCTTTGGGGCAGGAAAGTAGACATCAGCAGTTCTTATGCTTCTTCTCCTTGTTTCCACTTTGTTAATGTTCACACAGACTTCATATACAAGCTAAATAGAATCATCCATTCTTTCATATATAAGTTATAATTTCTTTTATAGTTTCGTATAAAAGCTAAATAGGATCCTGTGGATTTCACGTCAGGTTTTAACAGCACATCCTGGAAGCATCGCACATTCAAAGCATGGCACATACATTTAATAACTAATCTCTGACTAATTCCCTATTTCCAGCTAATTAGCCCCTTCCTCCATGAGCAAATGCATGTTCAGCCTCTTGAAGCATTCGGCCTACTAAGAACAATTATACGTGTTTCCCTAATGAACAGGGTACATGAAGAATTAATAAATAATTAGTAAATGCCATTAAAGAGTGGGATGAGGGGAGCGGGAGCACTCTTTACTCCTGAGGGACGGGACTACACTTCCCGTCAGCCCCCGCGCTCCGCAGGGGCCGGACTACAGTTCCCATGCGCCCTCACGGAACAGGACTACAGTTCCCATGAGCCCCCGCGGCCGCCCCGTTCCCCGCGGTTTCTGAGCGAGCATGGCGGCGGAGCTGCGTGTGGTGAGTGGGCCCGGCCGCCATCCGCCGCCATCCGCGGGCACGGCGGCCTCCAGGGGCGCGGGGACGGCCGGGCGGTGTGCGGGGAACTCCCGTGCGCTGCCGGGACCGCCCGCAGGGCTGCGGTGAGGCGTGATAGTGGCCCCGCCGCCCGCCATGGTGGATGGAGGGAGCAAGGCCGGGGGTCCGGGCCTGCCTGAGGGGCTGCGGCGGGAACCGCGGGCTGGCCCGAGCCCTGCTCAGCGTTTCATGGGCAGCGGGTGCGGCGGGCTCGGGGCTGTCTCCCAGCACCCCGATCCCCATCCCAGCGGGCCGGGCAGCCACGTGTGCCCGCAGACCCGGGGAGCGCCACAGCCACCAGGGCAAGAACAGATTTGCCATCTGGGGTGGTCCTCTGCTCCTTAGCTGTTCTGGAAGCTGAGCTAGTGATGATAAAAGTTATCCCTGTCTGAATTTGATCTTTCCTCTGTGGAAGCGGAACTCTGAGGCTCAGTGTTAGAGACGGAAAGGTAAAGGAATGATTTGTTACCTGAACTAACTCTGCTCCCTTTCTCGGTTTCAGAGCATGACACCGTGTCAAGAAGGGGTGAAAACACTCCCCTGGCTGGGGAGCTGATTGACCCACAGTGCACCTTCATAATGGTGAGAAACAGCAGCATCTGCCTTGGCATAGTCTGGGGTTCTTTTTCCTCCGCTTGAGGGGTTATGTAAGAAAAACTCGCTGTGCTGTCTCAAATTATACCCTCCTGCATTCCTGGGGCTCCTGGGAGGGGATATAAAAGCCCAATGGCTTGATGAATGTAATTAAGCCAATAAAGGCTGTAGCTTTGTCACGGCTGCCACCCGAGTGTGCTGCCCTTTGCTGCCACTGAGCACAAGCTGAAAAGCAGCATGGATTGAATGGGAATTTTACTGGTGTTGGTGCCCAGCAGAGCACCTGCTTGTCAGAGATGAGCCAGAGTAGAAGGATTAGAGGTAGGAGGGATTGGATGACAGCCTATTATGGAGACACTTGACACAGCTCATCTCATAACTGTGTCTGTCACAGAAATAGACCTAGTGACAGAGTAATTGCTCTGTTTGTCTGCCTGGAGGTGCTCTGGGACAGTTTCAAACTTGCATCAGGTTGCTGGGGCTGGGGAGGTGCAGCCTGCCTGCCCCAGAGGGTCATCCTGTGAAGGACACACCCTGAGGAATCTTCCACCTGAGGGGATGTGGCTGTCCTAGGTCTGATAAATGCGTTTCTTAAGATAAACACATAGACAAGTTATACCATGGAAGGAGTTGGACTGAGAGGTTTCTGGAAGATGAGGAGAATGTCAGGTTGAAACAGCTTAAAAGGGTCCAAACCACCAATGTCTCAGAGCTGGTGGGGTTTTTCCCTAAGCAAGGATTTAAATAGCATCCACCTCCCAAAGTTTCTTGTCTGAATGAGACAGCCCCTGGCAAACATGCTCCTCTGTGTCTTGAGAGACAGGTTTCTGCTCTGCTAAGTTTGTGAGACAAAAGTTGCCTGTCTTTGAATGGAGAATTTCTGTCTAATTCTTGATCTGTGATCCATTGCTGGGTTTTTTTTCAGGTGAGGTGAGGGAAAGACGACCAACTTTACTTAAAGTGCTTTTGCTAACTGTGTCCATTGCAACTTTGTATTCAGGAGGAAATGGTCCTGCAGAATCCTGGGGCTGCTGTTGCCCAAAGACAGCTTTGGCCAGAGGGCAGCTGCTATGTTTGGCTTCAGGCTGGTAAGAGAATTGAATTCTTCAGTATTGTGTGTTGTTTGTCTTTAATTCATTAATTACATGCCAGGCCTGTAGGCACATTGAGCCTCATCTCTGAAGGTTTACCAGGAAAAATCCCAGGAGAACAGCTGGGTATCTGTGCTGTGTGTGGTTTTGGGAACGTGAGGGGTGGGACAGACACTGAGCCTGTGATGTCGTGTTATCCCTGTCTGACACTCATCTTGAGGAGGAAAATGTCCACTGAGGCTCAGATACTTCCCTTAGTGGGTGCAAAGAGTCCACAGGTGTGAGTGGCACCAGCGTGACAGAATGTGTCCCCTGTCCTGCCACCCTGTGACAGCAGCCAGTGCAGTCCCAGGCACAGACACAGCTGCAGAGCTGCTGTTGTCATAGCACAGTTTAGAGCTGCAAAGAGCTTTCAAGTTCCTTGTGCAAACAGTGACAGGTTGAAGGGCAGATAAGGAATGCATTCTTTCTCTTCCTTGATGTACAGTCACTGAACACACAGGCTGGAACAGCACTTTGTCTTGGGCAGCTGACAGCTGCCTTCTGCTAAATGATTTTATGGTTTATTGAGCAGAATTTGGTTTTGTTTGCAGAAGGTTAATAACAGTTTCTGACAGGCTGGCAGAGCTGGTGACAGGGAGTGTCGTCAGGATTGTGCAAGGGGAGGGAATGGCACCACAAATCAGGCACGTTGGGTGCTCTGGCAGCACAGCTGTCTCCCAGGCAGGACCAGGCACTGGGACAAGCACCTGGAGCTTTTGGCTTCCAAGGTATAACAGAGAAAACAAAGTGGAGAGGCAGCCTGATAAAAAGCTACTCGGTGCTTTGAGATCAGGACAGGAATTGTTTCAGAATGGACTTTTTTAGGACAACTGTTACAGCCTTGCTGTGTTGTTTCTCACAGATCTAGAAGGAAGATTGTTCTGGATGGGATGTCACAAATGACTTCGGATATGTCGTGTGAAATGACCACCTCTGTGTAGACACAGGCTCCTCCTCACTGCTCAGTGCTTGCTGCAGCCACACCGTGGGTAAGGGACCACTAAAACCAAAAAGGATTTGGGTACTAGTGCCATTGGCCTGGGTGGGAGCAAGGTTTTGTCTGCTGGGACCTGTACTCCAGATTAAACAGTGCAAATCAGGAACTTTTCAGCTGCTCTGATACTGTTGGGTTTTGTTTGTTTTTTTTCACCAGGACCTGATCTACAGTTGGCTGGAGGAAAAAGTGGTTCCCTGCTTTCTTCTGTTCCAGAATAAAATATATTGTGGAAAATCTTACTAGTCGAAGTTGGGTTTTATTTGGTTATTTCTGTAAAGGTTGGAGTCCATGCTCTTAAAGGCGTTTTCTAGCTGTAATAATCCTAATTCTTCTTGGACAGAAATGGTTTTGTGCAGGTATGAAGGATTTGTATTAAAACCCTTCCTGAAATGGCAGTTGTGATCTTACCCTTCATAGCAAACCTGACAACACAAAGACGTCAGTGTCTGCAGATTCTGTCCCAGCAGTAATTCATGGGGACAGTGTGACAGAACTAACTTTTGGCTGAGGTCTGGTGCCAAATGGGTCTTGTGGTGTGCTTGGGAGTACAGCCATGAATAATCCTTAAAATGGAGTTAACTCCAGCTCCAGGCTCCATCCCTAGCTGGGAACATCCCTTTTTGAGAGGGGAAAGCAAGGTGCACGTTGTGGTTCCCAATGTTTGGTTCCTGATATGCCTGTGAACTGGATTATTCCAGCAGGATTACAGCACCATCCTGCTCCTGCCCTGAGTGTCAGGGTGCTGCTGATGTCACCTGGCCACGGCTGGTTTGAGGAGGTTTCAGAGTGTCTTGGCCAGGAGATGTGAGGATCAGGCTCATTCGTGTCACAAAAGGTTTTACTGAGTGTTTGGATAGACAAACCGGGCCTGACAGGCTGCTGTGGTACCAGTGTAAGGTGGCTCTGATGGGAACAAAGGTTAATTGAGACCTGGGAACACAAGATGGGCCCCAAGCTAGAGATTACATCTGGAACAGGCTTGGAGCCTAACCTGTGTCTGAACCAGCTGGAAGCAGCCTGCTGAGAGCTTCAGGGGGTTTGGAGGCTCCCTGGCTCAGGGCCAGGGTATCTTTTTGCCATCTCTGTACACCAACCTCACACAGTAAATAGCATTCCAAGTGGAAAAAGGGCTGTGCTCAGAGCTAAGTCTTCGGTCTCCATGATTTAAACTGGTTTCCATCCCTGTCTGCCTCTGGAGCTGCTCCCCATTGAAGTCTTTACTGCTTCTCTGCTGTGGAAGGAGGGTCTCACCCCACCCAGTTCATCAAAACAACAGAAACGTGTTAAAGAAAACAATCATTCAACATTTATGTAATTACACGAAGTGGGAAAGTGTCTTGGGTTACACTGCTCTGTCTCCAGCCCCCACCAGCTGGGGAAGCCTCCCCCAGTCCCTGAGCAGTGCTGGTGTATGAGGGACAGCTGAAGGGTTCAGGATCCCCCCTCCCTTTGGGTTTAGGGAAGGAAATTAAAAGTGACCACACTTTGACCCACCTGGTGTGGGGCTGCCTCCCAGAGGCACCAGAGTCCCTGTGCAGGGAAAGGCTGACAGAGCCAGTGCCACACGCATGGCTGAGGCCAGTGTCACCCCTGGGCTGCTCAGAGCCTGGACATGCTCCTGGAGTCCTGGCTGACCTGCCTGACCCTCCTTGTAGCTGATGGCTTCTGAGCCCCTTCCTTGCCCGAAAACACCAGACCTCAAGAAGGGGACGGTGACAGGGACACACTGTGTCCTTCTGTCTGTGCCACTGACCAGGGAGGCAAAGAGATCCTTCTGGAATGTGGCACACATCCACACACAGCTGGCTGGAGCTGGGACTTCCTGCTGTCTTTCTGGAGAGAGGTGTTCTCCAGACATGTCACCTCTTGTCACCTGAGCTCCGGTGCAAGGATTTCTCCTGCCTGCTGTGGTCCCACCATGGTGAAGGGCATTTTCCAGCATCACCCTGCCCCTCCTGTTCTCCCCTGCTGCTCCAAAGCCACATCCATGGGGCTGGCAGGGCCATGGCTGCCCCAAAGGCCACCTTCAATGGTGCTGATCCCTGAGGAAAACAACATTCCTCCCCCAGCTTCAGCTTCCCCGTTCTCCTCACATCACTGCTGGCTGTGGTGCAGCAAGCCTGCTCCGTGGGCTGGCTGGCCAGCTGGGAAGAGCCCTCAGGAGGGAGAAGGTGACCCTCAGGAGAAACAAGAGCCACAAGAGTCCTCGGACTCGCCCCTGTGGGCAGCGTCCCGGCTCAGCGCTGGTAGAGGGTGATGATCCCTGCACGGTGCAGGCTCCTCCACAGCGCTGCCTCCAGCAGCATGTCGTGGTTGGCATAAAACACCAGAGGTTTCTTCTCCACCTCGTAGTAGTGGTCTGAGAACTGCTCGTAGTTGGCCGTGATGAACCCGTAGGCACTGACCTGTGGGGAAGGAGGTGGGGCAGACAGGAAGGATCAAGGTTTCACTTGGATGGTCCATCACCACCAGCACTCCCTTCAGGGACAGGGGACACGTAGGACAGCCACCAGGATACACTAGAACCCCACAGCAGCCAAAGAGGGGATTCCATTCTCCCCAGGGGAATGGCCAAAGGGGGGATTCCCTTCTCCCCAGGGTAACAGCCAAAAGGGGGATTCCCTTCTCCCCAGAGGAATGGCCAAAGGGGGGATTCTCTTCTCCCCAGGGGAATGGCCAAAGGGGGGGATTCCCTTCTCCCCAGGGTAACAGCCAAAAGGGGGATTCCCTTCTCCCCAGGGGAATGGCCAAAGGGGGGATTCCATTCTCCCCAGAGGAATGGCCACAGGGGGGATTCCCTTCTCCCCAGGGGACCAGCCAAAAGGGGGATTCCATTCTCCCAGGGGAATGGCCAAAGGGGGGATTCCCTTCTCCCCACACCCCCTTACCTGGTCGCAGGTGTGGAGTGCAGTGAGGAGCATGAGGGCGCCGGTGCTGGGCATGTACAGGGAGCTGTACTGGGTGTTGAGGAGCTCTGACCGCAGGAACCTGAAGGGACACGCTGGCTGTGGGGTTGGCACAGCCCTGCAGCCCCCAGCCCCACAGCCCCCCAGCCCTCTCCAGTGCTCAGTAAGGCAGGAGCACTCAGGGAAACCCCGGGCTCAGGTGGGTTCTCTGATGGCTGCTCTCATTTGCTCAGAGGTTGGTAAAAGGCACCTCTCTGCTCTTTGGAGCCATCCCAACCTGGGCACCTGCTTTCATGAAAGGCAGGAAAAGATCATCCTGCTGGGACCTACCTTTGCTCCTGTTAGACTGGAGCAAAATGTAATTTGTTTTGGGGAATGGGAGCAAGGTGAGCACAGGGAGACGTAGGAGGGGATGTGAGCTGTGCTGCAGTGAACAGGAAAGGTGGGGGAGAGAAGCCTCCAGTGTCTGGGGGAGACTGAGACTGCACTTTGATGCTGGGCAGCTACTGGTCTGTACTGGAACGAGCAGAGAGGGGAGGGAGGCGGTCTGAGCCCAGCCCAGAGCAGAGCCAGGCAGCAGCCACAGTGCTCACCACCCTCACCTTGCTGTCAGGTACTGCAAGAAATCAGGATGCAGCAGCTTGAACTTCTCTGCAGATGCCTCCAGTCCAAAATACTTCTGTGGGCTGTAGCAAAGCAAGGAGAAGGGCAGAACTTCGTCATGGGAGTCCTGGAGCTCCTTGGGGGTTTATCCCAGGAGGGACAGATGTAGGGTGAGGACAGGGGAGTCACGCCTGCATCACCAGGGGTGCTGAGGGGATCTTGGGGAGCTACTCACTCGTCCCCCTTGTCCGAGCCCTCGGGCACTGGGCTGCCCTGGATGGCCGATTTCAGCATGAGGTAGTCACGGACATCCGAGGGGATGAAGATGTACCTCAGGTCCTGCAGCAAGGACACAGACAGGGCACTTGGAGGGGGTTTAGGGACACGGCCCATGCTTGCAGGTGAGGACTGAGGGCTCCTGAGATGGGGAGAAAGTCTCAGAAGCAAGCCCAGCCTGAAAGGAGAATTTGATTCAAATCCCCAACAAGCCCTCGGGTCTCACCTTGCCCTGGGGGATCTGGGTGAAGCCATACTCCTCATAGGAGATGAGGGAGTTCTTCATGGTGTTCACCGTGAAGCCGTAGAAGGAGACCTTGGTGCCAACGTCCTCCTCAAAACCCTTGATCACGGCACCATTGAGCCTGTAGGGAAAGCAGAGAACTCACATCCAGGGCTGGCATCATCCAGCAGCCATGGCCCCATCCTGCCTGGGATTCACCCTCACCTGAAGACCAGGTGGTGGCTGTCGATGGCCTTGCCCTGCCGCGAGCCGTTGAGGATGCCACCGTTGCCCACCACGGCACAGCGGACACAGCCCCCGGAGAAGGCGGCCCTGTCGAAGAGGTGCCGGTTGGCCGAGGCGTTGAGGAGCTGGAGGGTGCTGCCCACCACTGGAATGGAGCAGGATGTGACCAGGCAGCAGGGAAAAGGTGTGTGCCAACCCACGTGGGCACAGCCAGGAGCAGCACACAAGAAAACTCACACTACCCCCGTGCAGGGGAGAGGTCTGCAGGTGGCATATGGCGGTGTCAGATAAGCTCTCCTCTCCCAGCTTGGTGTCACATCCTCGTATCTCTTATCTCCCCATGCTCCTAACCTGCTACAGTGACCACCCAAGGCCGTGCAAGGCACAGGGATGCATCCAGATATCTCCAGCCTGCAGATGCTGCTGCCCGTGCTGGCCACATCCCCTCCTGATAATGTCTCTGCAACTGCCACTGGTTCTCTCCTGAATGTTCCCAGCACTTCCCAGCCCAGGGACTGAAGCTGGCAGCTGCCAGGGAAAACAGAGAGTGGGTTTGGGGTGGGAAGGGAAACAATCTCCATGCACAACAATGGAGCTGGTTGTCCGAGCTCATCCGGCCCCAGTCAATAATCACGGACACACTGGAGCTTTTATTCAGGGAAAATGTCACAAGATGCAGCAAGAACCGCACCCCGTGCCCTGGGAGGTGGGGTGGGAAGAGATCAACATTCCTGGCTCCTCTGCAGGGCTCCTTGCCTGGCCCACATCTCCAATCCCTTCTTCTGGGCTCCCCAGTCCCCTCAAGCTGCCCCACATCCCAGCGGGGTCTGTACCTGCGAGGGACAAGCCCTGCCAGCCATAGGGGACATGTCGTGTCTTCAGCCTGTTCCAGGTCTCCAGGGTGAAGTGCTGGTCCCACATCAGCACGGGGGTGTTGAAGCGGAAGATCTCCCGAAATTTGGGGTCTGCCTTTGCTCTGGCCGTTACAGAGTGGAGGCAGGGGCTGGGCTGGGAGGGAGGAAGGAGGATCCTGCTCAATCTGTGGGGCTGCCTTCCCTGTGACACCCCCACCCCTCAGCAGGCACCAAGGTGGGAACAAACCCAGGGACAGAAATGCTCCTTGTCCATCACACCTTCTGCTGGGTCACCCAGGCAGGGCATTGCCTCGTGCCTTGGTTTTGTGCTGCAGAACAGCCTTTGGCACCCAGCTCAGCGGGCTGGCAGAACCAGGGCTTACACAGGCACCTGAGAGCATGAAAAATTCAGCACCTTCAGGCGTGTGCTACCCTTTAAAGGGCTCTGCTCTGTGAGAACAGAGCAGTAACAGCTCCCCTCAGGGCCTGGGTCCATCCCCACGAGTCTTCATGCACTGCTGGCCCAGGAGTCATGGGGTTGGATGGGGGTGGTGGTGCTGGCTCCAGCCTCCACACGGGGAAATTGCAGCAGGGAGGCCTGGGGAGAATCATTTGTGTGGATGGACAAGGTTGCTCCTCTGTAAACCCCTTCCAAAGGATGCTGCTCCTCCTCCTCAGCCTCCCCACACAACAAATGTTGGGGCACCATGGCCGTGACTGTGCTGTGCTAATGGTTACCTGCTTCCTGCTGGGCTCCGGCTCCTCCAGCTCAGCAGAGGGCTGCAAGGAATTCCCACTGGGATGGGGGAAACATATGGCAGAGTTAAAAATCCATTGCTTGGGAACTGGAGAAGCCCACAGTGGGCAGGGGCCTCCCAGTTCCTGCCAGGATGGCTGAGCATCTTTCCTCCTTACCTCTCTGAGCTGCCTCCAAGAGCCCATCTGCGGCTGCTGGCTCCCTGTGGTGTCCCTGAGGGAGCTGGGACCAGTGGCCCTGGCTGCAGCAAGCTGGGAGAAGACAAGTGAGGACTCAGCTGAGGAGGTGACATTGAGCACCCTGACATCCCCCCACCTGTGAGAGCTACAGGACAGCACTACAACCATTATCTCCTCTTCACCATTTATCTCCTCTTCACCCACAAGTGGAGAGATGAGGATTTGCAAAACACAGGGTTTGTGCAGCCACCATCTCCTGGTGGCTCTAGGACTCCCAAATACCAAAAACAACACCCAGCCCAGCCTGCAGTTTTGGGGGAATCCTACTGAGACCTCCCTGGCTCTTCCCACCATCCCACTCCTCCTGAGTCCAAAGAGGACTGGGCTGGAATAAACTGGACAGGCCAGCAGGACACCTTTAGTTGTTCTACTGGAGAAGCAATCAGCAATTGGGGTCTGGAGGTTCTTGGGGTGCATGGGACACCCTCTACCATGAGGGTGGCTGAGGCATGCCCTGATCCCTCCTGAGTAGCAAGGGCTGCCCACCCTGAACAACTTGGGGTGCCCTGAGCCCCATGGGGCCAGGCTGAGCTGGGGGCACTGGGGCTGGGGGTGGGCAGGCGAGCAGGAGGTGGGAGCCCACCGGAGGGGAACAGGGGAACCATTCATCCCCACACAGAAAGGCCCTTCAGAGCCCCCGGCCCCGCCGCCAGCCCGGGCGGCAGGTGCTGTGCCAGAAGGGGGGTATTGTGGAGGAGACAAGGGCTCCTTGTTACAGGATCTCTGCCTGGGAGCCTGGGGACAGGTAAAAGCAGGTGGGGAGCGGAGCCTCACCCCCCTGGCCCTGCTGGCACAACGTGTGCTGGCACAGGAGCACAGAGGGAGTTGGGTTTCTGTCCCTGCCACAGCCCCTGCCAAGGAGCAGATCCAAACCCATCTGCCACCCAAACCCTGCTCCGTGCCACTCTGCAGGCATGGCATGACATGGGGGGACAGCCCAGCACCCTGCCTGGGGTCTGGAACCCGGGTGGGGATGGAAAGGCAGCACCAAGCAGGGTTTGTTCCCAGCACCTTCCGTGCACCATCCCAGCCCTGGGCAGGGGATGCTGAGGGTGCAGCAGGCTGAGCCCCAGCACTGGAGCAGAACAACTTTTAAATCAAGCTTGTGCGTCCTGCCTTGTGTGTCATGGGAAGTCAGAGCCCTGCAAAGCCCCCAGCACTCCAAACAGCCCAGGGGTCAGCACAGCAGGACCCCCACCAGCTCACCCCTGAGACCACCTGAGCAGGCAGAGAGAGGAGGGAGGGAAAATGCTCAAGAGGGTCCACCAGGATGGGACTGAGCAATCCCAGAGAGCTGCAGAGCTGCAGTTTTCTGTAGGGCCTTTCTGCTTCTATCCTGCATCATCCAACTAATCCCAGCCTGAGCAAACTTGTCTATTCCCTTGGCTTGCAGGGGGCAGTGCAGGGTCTGCTCACAGCAAGGGCAAGGCCACCAGAGGCTGTACCAGACCTGGTGGTTACACTGGAAGCTGCTCTTTCAACCCTGCTACCGACAGCACACCCTCCAGAGCAAAGCTCTCCCACACAAGTGTCCCACAGCTCTGGATCCCGAGTGGGCTCAGCCCCAGTGAACTGCCCTGGGGTGCAGGGAGCTGCCCAGCCTCTCTTGCTGCCTTTTATCTCACAGTGCAGGACATCCCCGTGCCTCAACAGCAGAGCTTATCAACACCTCCACCACCCAAGGGATAGACCAGGGGCTGGGGAAACCTCCCTGCTCCAACCCCCGAGCTGGCTCCTGCAAAGCACTGAAGCCCCTGGGTTGGCCACCCACCCATTTTCTGGCCATAGAGGTGCACAGCCCTCACCAAACCCCGAGGCTGTTACCCTCACCCACCATTTCCAGACTTGAGCTGCATCCAAGCAGCCTCTCCCAGCCCCACCACCTCCCCAGCTCTTCCCACCAGGTTCACAAGCCCCAGCTGCACATCTCTGCCCACCCAGTCCCTTCCCCAGCTCTCCAAGCTCTCCTGCTCATGTTTCTTCCCTTTCCCTTCCCCGGCTCACCCAGTCCTGCAGCACTGGGCAGAGCCCTGGGCAGGGGCAGTGGCAGGGGCAGTGGCAGGGTGCTGCACTACTTTCTGAGCTGCCAGGGGTCTGTGGGACCCCAGGGGGCTCAGCCTGGCTGTGCCCAGGATGGAGGGAGGTTGGAGGGAGGCTCAGCCTGGCTCCTGCCAACCTCCCGTGGGGGCTGGGCCCCAACCCCACCCATGGCCGGACACAGTGGGTGGCACCTGCTCATCGTTTCTTCCAGGCTTTGTGCTGAACTGATAAATCAGTGCCAGCACCTCCCTGCACTCGCTTGCCAGCTGTGGGTGCTGGAGCCAGCTCTCCAGCATTGCTGCTGCCCAAACCCTGCTGGGCAGGGCGTGGGGCAGCTGGCCCCCCACCAGACAGCATCTCGGCGGCACCATGGGCAGCCAAGGCTTTGACGTCACCTGCCAGGACGTGGGGAAGCACCTCGTGCTGCTTGGTTGACTCAGAAGATGGCAATCCTGCCCAGGACCACAGATGCACAATGGGGCTGTGGGAAGGAGTGGCTGTGGCTGCCCGGGCACCGGCGGTGGCAGCAGAGCCGGCCAAGCCTGGGTGCGCTCCCTCACCGTCGTGACATTCACAACTATGACGTTTCTGGTCCAAGGCCATCCCTCGTTTCCGGAAGATAACGCTGTGTGTGAGTGTTGTGAGCACACACTCCAGCCTTATCTTCAGCAAATACTCCCAGGGCCCCACAGAAACATTTGAGGGAGCCAAAACAGCAACAAGGACCCGCTCTTGCTCTATCTCCCCGTGAAGGGCTGAGCTCCAGCAGCATCTTTTCCTGGTGCAGAGCAGGAGTGGCACAGCGAGGCCGGGCAGAGCTCTGTGCTCATCCCATCTGCCCTAAGAATAAAGCCACGAGTGCAGCCAGCAGCTCACCAGTGGGGTTTGGGAGAGATGGATGAGCAGGGAGTGGGACAGGGCTGTGCTCAGCTGAACCCCAGGGGATTTCACTCCCTCCATCCCATCTCTGCGGGGAACAGGGCATTTTCACACTTCCATGGGGCCACTAGCTTTGTGTGGAACTGCAGGGGGACTTGGCATTGCTGTGGGGATCAGGTCCTGGAGTGACCTGGTGCTGGCAGCAGTCACCATCCGTCAGAGATCAGCTTCCTCCTGATCCCCTTCATCCCCCTGTACCCCACTGCTCACACAAACCTCCTGCTGAAACAGAGTCCCCTGCACCCACAGGTGAGGACTCTGCCCCTCCTGTGCAGAACATGAGAGCTCTGCCATGGCACCTCAGCCCTGTGAAGTGGCCAGATGCAGCTCTGGACTCAGCTGGCAGGGCAGCAGCAATTCCTGCAGGGACACAGCTCTGTTGGGATGAGCAGCACTCATGCAGTGCCATATTTGTAAAGACAAGCAAACAGACAGCACTCTGCTTTGGGTTTAGCTCTAGGGGTTGAATCAAAGCCAAGAGGAGAGTCCAGGAGGGCTCTGGAGCACAGGTCAGATCTGTGTTACCTCACCCTGGACCCCTCTCTGGGGCTGGACAAGCTGACCCTTGGTCCCATCAGTCAGGGGCTGGAGCCTGGGCTGGCTTTCCAAGGAAGGTGACCTGGAGCTGCTGCAGATCCAGGCAGGGTTAGCCCGATATGTGGTGGGGGGAGCTGCTCCCTGCTTCCATCCCATGGGTTTTCTCCACACCCTGCTCTTGCTGGGCCATAGACCCTGCCAGGGCACGGCTGCTTTCCATTCCCAGCTCCAGCGTGGGCTATGGGTGTGTTCTGCTGCCCTCATGGGCCTCAGTTTCCCCTTTCGTGGACATCAAGCTCTTTGTGGGAGCTGCTCACACCCAGCTGTGACTGCCCCAGCAGTTTTTGGTAACGCTGCCACCGGTATCACGAGGGTGGAAAGAGCCAACAGCCAGCCCGGGCTGCTGCAGATATTCCTGATCCACCAGCCCGGCAGGAGAGGGGACCCCTCCCTGCCTTTGGCACGGTGGGATCGGGCAAGGAGAGCTCCCTGCTGGGCAAGAGAGAAGTTCTGAAGCCCGGGGCACCCTCAGCAAATCTCACCCTGTGCAGGAGCGGCTCCGGTCCCCACAGCATCCCCGTTTCCAGCTGGGCTCTGTCACACCGATGGCACCCCAAAGCAGCCAGGAGGGGGTGGGGGACACCCCCAGCGCACTCCCGGCCCAGCACCTGATGCTCGCAGGGGACAGGGCAGCTGGTCCCACAGCCCAAGCGCTGTGTGTGTGCGGGCTCCTTCCCCGCACTCTGCGGGGCACCCCCAGCACCCCATCCCGCTGGGCACCGGGGAGGCTCAGAATGGGCTCCGGGAGGTTTGGAGGATGCGGGGAAGGCGGACAAAGGGGGACTTGCGGATTGCTGGAGTTCGGAAAACGCCGCAGCCGAGTTGGCGAGCCTGCGGGCATCGTGGGGGCTCTGAGAGAGGGGCAGCCGTGCCCTGGCCCTGTAAGGGCGCAGTTCCATGGGGCCGAGCCTGTCCCGGGACAAGCAGCGGGTCCGATCCCGCATCAGCCCTCCCTGCTCTCAGCAATGGTGTCTTTGCCCTGCGATGTGCTGAACCCTTGGAGGGGTTCCACCCAATGCAAGGGGACCCTCCATGGCCTTGGGGTCCCGCTCTGGGCTCGGCTGGTGGCCCTGGGCAGATGCTGATGCCCGGGACAACTCAGAGCCTGCTGCCAGCCTGTTCTCCAAACCGGCCGGGGGCAGAGATCACCAGCCCTAAGGGGCACCCCGATTTCCCCTCGCCATCCCAGCACACGGGATTTACAAATCCCTGCCTCCCACCCCTCTCCCATCCCCGTCCCCCTCACCTGGCGATGATCCTTTGGCTGGTGGGCGCCTCCACCGTGGCGCGGTAGTGACTGTAGAGGAGCAGGGAGGATGTTAAACCTGCCAGGAGCAGAAGGCAAAGCCTTTTCCAGTGCGGGGACCCCATCCTGGGCAATCCAGCCACCGGAGCCGTGCAGCCAGCCCCGGGCACACAAAACTTCCCGGCGCCTCTGTTCTCCCGGCCGGGGGCTGGCTCCGTCCTGCCCCCGGTGCCCAGCTGCACTTTAGAGCCGGCTGGGATATTCCTCCGGAGCGGTGGGAGGGAGGGTGTAAGCCGGAGGGAGGAGGCACCAGGCTGACTGGTTCAGACTTGCTGAGAAAAAAAGCACTTTTGAGCTGCTTTTTTTTCTCCGAGCTGGGGATTAAACATTTACCCAGACCAGAAGGGAACTGAGATTTTTTTTTTTTAATTTATTTTTTTTAAACCTCCTTTTCATTCCCACCATCCCACGGCTCATAAGCAGGGTTCCCCTTTTCCTAACTTTCTTGTCCGACTCAAACACGTGCGTGTTTGGGCTGCAGCCACATGGACACCCGGCGGTCCCACGGTGCCACCCCCGAGCGTGTCCGCGGGCTCCTGCCGCGGATATTATTCTTATTCTTATTCTTATTCTTATTCTTATTCTTATTCTTATTCTTATTCTTATTCTTATTCTTATTCTTATTCTTATTCTTATTCTTATTCTTATTCTTATTCTTATTCTTATTCTTATTCTTATTCTTATTCTCATTCTCATTCTCATTATTCTTATTCTTATTCTTATTCTTATTCTTATTCTTATTCTTATTCTTCTCTTATTCTCATTCTCATTATTATTTGCACCAGGAGGGTGCAAATGTGGGGGAAAATGTGGGGCACTGATGGGGTGCTGCCACTAAACACGAGGGGGGCACAGTTGGGGTGCTGCCCCCGGGTCCCCCAGCACGTTCTGGCTGAATGGATCCCCTGCATTTGCAGCAAACAAAACCTGTCGGGGATTTGTGGCAAGCTCGACAAAGAGTTTGGGTTGGAGGAAAGGAGAAACGGGTTTGGGGGAAAATTTGCATGAATTATTTTGGTATTTTCGGAGAGGATGTGCTCCAGTTTCTTTTTTGAAAGAATATCTTGGTGTTATTTTAGTTCAACTCTGAAAGAACCAGCCTGTGAACTGAAGGATATGCATACCAAGATGTTTGTTGCAGTGGGGGAAGGGACTCAGCAGGCAAACAAGCCTTTTCAGTTGAACAGTAGGGATTTTGGGGGGTTGGATTTTTAGGAAGTCACCAGACTCGGGGAGCAGCATTTGGTGAGCCCTGCTCCACCCAAAACCTTTGCCCGTGGCTCCCTGAGCACTCATGTGTTGTTCCAGGTTGTCACACACCTCCAGCCCCTCCACAAATACCCTCTTTCATTATTCAACCCCAAAACCTGGGTCCAAACCCTGTCCCTGAGCCCACTGTGCCTGCATTTCCCCCAACACTCCTTTATCCCCTCAGATCCAACCACTCCCCTTCCTTTGCAGCCTGCCCAGACAGGTTCAAAGGAAGATAAAAGCAAAACACATTTTAACAGGAGTTTGCTCCAATCTCCACTTGCTTCCATTCCTATGGATCCCTCCATTGCCAGCCCCGATCCTCTGGGAATTTTGGCTGCGTGGGGATGGCACCGTGTTGGCATCCACGAAGTGCCAGGCTGTGGTGTGAACATGGGAACAGCTCTGTGCCTGAGGCTGGCAGTGGTGTCACCTTGTCCCCCTGGGAGAGAGGACAGTGGATCCAGGACACCACAAAGGGATAGGGGCCAGGCTGATTTCACAGCAAACTTGCAGGGAAGTCTCCTTGCTGTTGTGGCAGGAAGGTTGGCTGGGCACGGATTGTCTCAGGGAAGGAGAGAACAGCTGGAAGGACAGGACAGACCATGACCACTTGGACACACAGGGATAAAATCAAGCTCAAAACCCAGCTGGAGCTAAAGCTGTGGAAGGATGGGCAGGAAGAGGGGGTCACACGTACCCCAGTAGCAAAAGGCAGCTCAGAGAAATGGGGATGCATCGATGGAGGGATTTGATGCTTTTTGCCTCTAACACTAAAAGCTGCTCTCAGCCCTCAGGGGTACAGGATTTTTGTGGAAAACTCAGAGCCAGCAGAGCATGGTTGAGTCTGGGGTCCTGCTCAGAGGTCCCCCAGCCTGGAGCTGTCCCCACCCTGTGTGAGCCAGGGTCTGCCTCGCTGGCTCTGACCCGCTGGATGCGCTCCCTGCGATCCATCACTGCCTTGGCTCACGTGCTCGTTAACCGCAGCTAATTATTACCAACTGCTGGAGAAAGTCACAAGGGACGTAGCAAGGCTTGGCTTGGATGGATGACCAATGGTCCAGGGGAAGTGACCTGGGGAAAGTCAGGAATTTGCCATTTGGAAGCATTTATGGCCCAATCATGCAAATACTGGTGGAATGGCAGCTTCAAGGGCTGGAGGAGCTCATTTCTTCACATCTCACTGTTTCCATGATATATGGTTTTCTACTGTTGGTTTTATTTTCAGCGGGGTGAAAATGAGATGCACAGTTCTTCATCTGCTCTGCTTGTTTTGTGCTACAATGCATTTTGGACTATGCCCCAAAATTAAGTGGTGCTTAATTTAGAAGTTAAATAAGTGTGAAAAACCTTTTATGATGGTAGTTGCCAAATAAAGATTAGGAAAAGAACATAAAAGAAATTACAATGGAAACCAGCAAGCATCATTTTTAGCCTGGTCTTTTTATTCCAGTGATTACTTCTTGGAAACAGAACCCAATCCCTCCCCGTGGCTAGAGAGCACAAGAGGAAAATAAACATATTTTGCACCAGCTGGCTGCCAGCCACAGGTTGGCGGAGGAAAATGCCGTGGTCTTTGCCATGATGAACTGTGCAGGTGGGAGAATGAGATCTCCAAAAATCTCCTGGAGGATTTACACATCCAAATTCATTCAGCACGGGTCAGAGGCGCATTTAAGAAAGATCTCCAAAAATCTCCTGGAGGATTTACACATCCAAATTCATTCAGCACGGGTCAGAGGTGCATTTAAGAAAGTGCCAAAACCCCGCTCATAGAGCAGGTCCCTGAAACGCAGAGCCTGGCCGCCGGAGCGGGTGGCTGTGTCACCCCCCGAAAATGCAGGGCCATATGGCTGCCTGTGGAGGCACGGCCATGGCAGCATGAAAAATTCATCAGCAGATGTCCCGGGGGGCTGACACACGGCCCCTGCCCGCTGGGGAGGGGAGGGCAGCGGGAGCAGCTCGGCCACAGCTCCCCTCGCCAAACGGGGTCGGGCACAGCGCCCCTGACTCTCTCTGCTGGGCTTTGTGGTGGATTTGTAGGTGCTACTACAACCAAAGGCAGGAGAGGTGACCACACGGAGGATGCCTGGAGCAGGGTGACAGCAGGGTGACAGCAGGGTGACAGCAGGGTGACAGCAGGGTGACAGCAGGGCGCTGGCTGTGCTTGGCTGCAGGAGCAGAGAGGCTCAGGGCTGTGCTCTGCCCTTCTGCCCACACCCCCAGGGCTTCAGGGGGAAAAAGGGGACTGGGAGTGCAGCAAAACTGCTCAGAGAAGGAAAATGAAGCTGGTGAAGGGTATGGAACACAAGTGAGGAGAAGCTGAGGGAGCTGGAGTTGTTTAGCCTGGAGAAGAGGAGGCTTTATCACTCCTCGACAAGTCCCTGACAAGAGGGTGTAGCCAGCTGGGGATCGGTCTCTCCTCCCTGGCAAACAGTGACAGGATGAGAGGACATAATCCTGTGCCAGGGAGGTCTGGGTTGCACATTTGGAGGAATTTCTTCTCAGAAAGGGCTGTCAGGCATTGGAATGGGCTGCCCAGGGAGGCAGTGGAGTCACTGTCCCTGAAGGTGTTTAAGGAAAGGCTGTAGGTGGCACTCAGTGCTGAGGTGTGGGGGACAAGGGGGTGCTCAAAGGTTGGAATCAATGATGTCAGAGGCCTTTTCCAGCCAAAGGGATTCTGTGACTCCGTGATCTTTGTGCCAGTGTGGCAAGATGTGGCACCCTACAGTCCCCTCCTGCCCTTGCCCAAAGCAGGGAGGCTCCTGGGGTAAGCCACAGGCTGAGGTGGCAGCTCAGGACCTCACGAGCAGCAGCAGGATGTGGCTTAGGCTGGCTCATGCTGGCTCGCTCCCCCTGGCCCTGCTGGCCCAGCCTGGCTCTTATCTCGGGTGCCCGTGCATGGCAGAGCCCTTGGTCAGCCCTGGACCGCTGACCAGGGCCCAGACAAGCCAAACACACAGTTCAAAGGCCATCCCCTCTCCACTGGCATGAGGCAGCCTGGGAGGCTCTGAGCTATGCCTTGGAGGGGTGCAGAGTGGGAAACACCTCTGAGAAATTAGGGGGATGATGCAAACCACTGCCTTCCCCCTTCTTCCAAGGTATCTTGGACCAAGATGACCTCTCTGGCAAAGCAGAGCAGATGTTGGCTGACCCTTCCCTGCTCTTAGCAGAGCAGCCAGTCCCTGGGGTCTGCTCAAAGACATGTCCCTGGGGCCAGGCCAGGCTCTGTCCCCAAAGCTGGGGAGAGGGGACACCATGTCTGAGTGTGGGTGGGTGACCCAGCCCCTTGTGCACCCACCTGTGTGGTCCCATCTGCCACTGCATGGCTGCCATGGGAGGGATGGAGGGAGCCTTGGGATGTCCCCAGAACTCAGGAAGTGTCTTTTCAGAATTTACCATGCCAAGGGCTGGCCAGGCCAAGCTGGGAAAGCCCTGCAGCATCCAAGGTCCTGTTGCTCAGCCTGGCAGAGGAGCCCTGCTGCACCCCCTGGAGCTGTTTACCTGCAGGGCCCTGCTCCAGCACCTGGAGGTGAGGGCTTCTGGCAGGTCAGCCGGTGCTTTTTGCACAACAAAACCATGGGCTGCTCCTTTATCTTGTTCTCCCTCCCCTATTATCAATAGTTTTTCTGGTCCAACTGGATTTACCTGCTACCACATCCCCAAGAAAGGGAGAAGGTCCACACAGAGGAGAGAGGAGCAGAAACTTCCCACCCTCTGCCCTCAGGGCCTGCCCCAAACCTCTCAGCAACTGAGGAACATGAACAGCACCTGCTAAGTCCTCAGCACAGAGCTTTTTGTGCTGACCTCGAGCAGGCACACAGCTCTGCCACACTCCCACAGCATCACATCAGCCACAGACACTCGAGAGTAACACATCCAGAGGGAGCAACTCCATGCTGGGAAGATGGGTGCTGTTGTGGCAAGCACATTCCTCTCCTTCTCAGGATTTTTCATAAGGGTGCACACAGAGAAATGAAAGCGAAAACATTTTCTATTTCTGCTCCTTGTTTTTCCCATGTGGAATGTGTTTGGAGAATTGTTTACCTGGGGTGTTGCTTGGTTGGATTCTGGTGAGGATTGTTTGAGCCTGATGGCCAATCCAACCCACCTGGGGCTGGGCTCTCAGAGAGGGTCACGAGTTGTGTTAGAGAAAGTAGTATGTAGTTTTAGTATCCTCCTTTTATATAGTATATTAATGTATTTTAGCATAGTTATAATAAAGAAATAATTCAGCCTTCTGAATTGAGTCAGACATTGTCATTTCTTCCCATTGGGTTCGCCTGCATTTACAATATGCTGTCACCCAGCTCTGGCTGCTCCGTGCCTCTGTTGCCTGCCTGAGAAGGAAAGAGACAGCAGTGACAATATGGATGTGCCACCAGGCTGCCCTGGAGCCGTGTGTGGCACACACAGGGGCTCCCTCCAGCACCTGGTTGGGTTTGGGGCTGGCTGCCACCTTTAGAAGGCACCTCAAACCCCAGGACATGGTGCAGAGCCCACCTTGTCCCTGCTCCTGGTAAGGCCAAACCCAGAGAGGATGCAGAGAGCAGGGCTGCACTGACCAGGAGCAGGGACGAGATGGGCTCTGCACCACTCACTTGTCCCCAAAATGCATCCCTGTCCCCCAGCAAGTCCATGTCTGCCTCCTCCTGCTTCATCCAGTCAAGGAGCTGTGAACACACAGCGGGACAGGGTGGTCTCTGCTTCTGCTGTTCAGGTGAGCAGTCACACTGAAAGCGGGAAGAGGTGCAAATGAAGCAGTAAATTTGAAGCCCTGCCAGGAAGGTGACACCATGAGAACTTCTGGGTGACAAGTGGTTTTGGTTTCTACAGTCTGGTGGAGAATATTTAAAGGCTGTTAACTCTCGAGGAACCCCAGGAGGAGTCTGGCACAGCTGTAATCAACAGTTCATGGTAGTCACCAAGAGCTTTTGAAAAAAGCAGGTCTGACAAAACAGCAACTTCTGGACATGCTGAGGAACATGGTTTATTTATCCCCCAAATCAAATGTCTCTGCTTAAACCCTGCAGCCCCCAGAGCTCCTGTCTGGCAGTGAGCAGTCCACCGGTCACTGGGCATTGTGTCCGTGCAGGAGGAGGAGCTGCTGTATCTGAGCATCCCTCAGGATGTCAGAGCTGATACCACCTTTGCTTGTGCTGCCTTCAGCTCTGTGCTATGCTGCAGGAGCAGAGGGCACACCTTGGCACTGCAGGGCACCAGAGCTCTGCTCCGTGTGTCCCCTCACACCCCAGCGAGCCCCGGGCTGTCGATGGCAGGAGCTGTGCCCTGCAGGACACAGTGCCACACCAGGATGTGCCACACCTGGCACAAAGACAGATCCCTGAACAGGAACTGCCACCTGGTGGCACAGGGACAATCTTGATGGCGTGCCAACCACGGAGACCTGGATTTCGGGGTGGCACTGGCTCTGCCCAGCGGCACTGAGCAGGCTGGGGCTGCTGCAGCACAGCCTGGCAGTGCTGCTTTCACTCACCCTGCTGGGAGCTTGCCCAGCCCTGAATCCTGGCTCTTGCCAAGGCTGCTCCAGCTCTCCACAGACTTTGTTCCATTTGTTTGTGCCAGGCTGGGAAATGCCACCTCCAGCCCTGCTCAACTTCTTGTGACCCGATGCCACAAGATCAGGCAGCTCTGGTGAGGCAAGGCTGGATTTGTGCCCCAGGGGATGTGTCCCAGCGTGTGCCACACCTCAGCCAGCCCACGGTGGCCTTGGTGCAGGGGGACAGGAGCAAAGTGAGGAGGTGAGGGGGACCATAAGGTCAGAGCTGCTTTCCTGGGATCAGGAAGGATGTGGCTTTGAGCTTGCTGGGAAACTTCAGGCCACAGCAAAGGCCCTTCTCCAGCCAAAATTATCCCAGATAACATCGAAGTCTGCTGTGCTGAGATAAAATCCTGGAGGGAACAGGCTTAGGGGAAAGCCTCCTGGGAATTTTCCTTCCCTTGACTCCAGGAAGCCTCGACACAAGGGAAAAGCGTGGGCTGGGGGCTGCCAGCCCATCCCAAAGCCCCCTCACCCCCTGGGGAATCCTTGACTCAGCCCCTTCCTGCTTCCCAAAGGACAGAGGAACAAAAGAGGAGGAGGGGGAAGGGAAAGGTCTAAGGGAAACTTCTTCCAACTTCTGGGGAAGAGAAAAGCCCTATTCAGGCAGGAAGAATGCCCGGTGGAGCTGGTCACTAAGCAACCCACAGCAATGTGGTACGGCCTGAGGGACAGACGAGGAACAAAACTGCCTCATTGCCCACCCACAGCCCCTCAGGGAGAGCTTGCAGGGCCGGGGGACAGGGGACACCACCAGGGCCACCTGGGGACAGAGTGCACTGCCACCACTGTGGCACCCAGCAGGTCCAGAGCTCCCGAGTGCAGGAGTTTCTCCTCAGGCAGCTCTGGATGGTGACCAGCCTCACCCAGGCTTCCATGTTTGCTGCTCAGGAAGGATTTCTGGTCTGCTCCAAAGCCCGTGGCTCCCTCTGGGCATGGCATTCCCACAGGGCTGCATCGTTCCCAGCAGAGGCACTGTGCATTTCGGACACCTCCCTGCTCCCACAGACACTGTGGGCTCCTATGGGCAGAGCAGCCAGGCACAGGCTACATCCTCTCAGAGAAGCTGAATTCTGCATTTAGATTCTCAATGTGGGTGGTTGTCCTTCACAAACAAGCTCAGTGAGACATGAGAAACTGCCTGGTCTCTCTGCAGCACAAGGAAAAAGGGAAAAAGGAAGTCAAGCCTGACAAGCCTTGCTGACAATCCCAGCTGAAATGCCTTCCTTGGAGCCCAGAGAGACCCTGGAGACACTGCTGCCCCCAACAAAAATGCTGCAGAAATGGAAAAACACTCACAACCAAGGTGGGTCCAGGGAGTGTGCAGCTGGTTAACCCCAGGGACGTGTTCTGGACCTGCTGGGACTCTGGAGGTGGCTTTTTGCCTGCAGTGTCACGGGAGAAACATCCAGCCCTTCATGTATTTTTCCTGACTATCTGATACACCTGGAGAGCAGTTGCTGGGACAAGGGCAAACTTGTCAGGTGTTCACCCACTTCCTCAGGGAGGTGTTTGGCTGGTGCTGATCCCTGTCCTGCAAGATGAACAGGTGGGGGATGCTCAGGGATGTCCACACAAGCTGCAGAGCTTCTCCAGGTGGAGGTAATCTCATTATCCCTCCGTCCTGTACTTTCCTGGCTTTGCCATCTGCTGTATCTCAGCCTTTAAAGTATCAATTTTGGGTGCATTAAATAATCACAAGCCACAGGGCTGCATAAAAGATCAGCTTGGCCAAAGTAGTACCATTTATTTTGCTTACAAAACCCCTTCCAGGAGGCCAACACACTCCAGGTTTGCTGGCTGCAGCTGGGCCCCTCTCAGCACCAGGGGGGACAGGCACTTCAGCCAGCAGCAAGGACACATAGCATCAGTCTTAGTTTGAAAAGACAGGAGTCTGTGAAGGAAGGCAAGAGCCTCCTGTGAAATTGAAAAGGTAAACCCCCTCCCTCCGAATTACCACAAATTTGAAATTAAAAGGCTCTCAGGCAAAGATATGGGAATGGGAATAACAGTTCTTTACTAGAAAAAAAACTAAAGAAAAATAAAGAAAAAAATGTAATTTTTTTTTACTGATAGAGTCAGAAACCTGACACCCTGAGGAGTCAGGGTGTTGGTAATAGTCCAGTTAAATGGTGGCTGCTCCTCCTGGAGTGGCAGATGAAATGCTGCTGGAGCACTGATCTGTAGAAGGGTGGAGTTTTCTCTGAAGGTCTGGTGATGGAGTAGCTAGGCCTGGTCTTCCTCTGGGGATCCAGCAGAAAAGAAGCTGCTCCTCTGGGAATCCAGAAAAGGGCTGCTCTAGTGCCCCAAAAAGTGCTGATTTTATGCAGGTAGGGCTGCTTGGCTCCTCCTCTGGGTGGAGCATCTCACAATGCGCTGATGTACCTTTACCAGTCATGCAGTGAGTCATTAATAGCCCATTAACAGAAGATATCTCCCCGGAGGGAGACATTGTTCTTGGGAGAGATAAGAAAACTGCCCAACCTCCAACAGATGGCAATAGAATCCATGCTTATCTTACACGCCAGGACAGCATCCATCCCTGGACTTGGAGAGCTTCCACCTCTCCTCCCAGGAGGACAAACACCCTGGGCACGGCTGGGAGCCAGGCATGATGAAGTCCATCTATGCAAGGACTTGACACATCAGGTCCATGCCACAAAATTTCACATTTTGTCAGCCAGGGAAGCCCTGGGGCAAGAGGCACCAGGTACAGAAGGTCTGCCACACCATGGAGAGCAGCTGCCTGCCCTTGAGCTGATGGCAGTGCTCCTCTGGAAGTGTCATAGCAAGGCCATTCTGGGTAGCAGAAGTGAAAATCATTCTCTCTCAGATTAGTCACTGGATGTGTCCAGTCCATCCCAGTGCAGCCCGTTCCCCCCTCCCCCCACAAAAAACTAAGTCAACCTGAACCAGAATCTGTGTTTCCACCTCCATCCATTCCAGCTCCTCGGGGAGTTTGTTTAGACAATACCCAGTTCCAAAATGGGCATTGCTAATGGAGAGGATCCACCCAGAAGAGAAGTGGCCCCAGCCTGAGCAGCATCTCCTTTGTTGAGAGAGGAATTACACAAAGGACCATATCCATCCTGGATTCTGCTCTCTTAATACCCATGCCTACAACAAGCAAGAGTCCTGCAGCACAGCCAGACTTTTTTGGCAGGCTGCATTTTCTTGTTGGTCTTTGGGTCTCCAGCATTCACACATCTGTTGGAGTGCTGTGAAATAGCAGAGGTGCTGAAGGAGGGAAATGTCTTTGTGGGGATGAAATGTGCCTGGCAGTCCAGAGCTAACCTTGGCTCTGGTGGTCCTCTTCTGTTCCCAGGGAGGTGTTGTTGAGATTTCCCAGAACCTGCTGCAGTCAGGTTCTCACGTAAAGTCTCATTATATTCTCATCATGAAGCCTTTTCCACACCTGCTTCTCCAGGTTGAAGTCATGGTTAATGTAGAAAATCAGCTTTTTCCAGTTCTTGTCATAGTAGTGATCCGAGTACTTCTCGTGCCCCTCAGTGATGTAGCCATAAGCACTGACCTGGGAAAGATGCAGGGCTCACTGGGCAGGGCTACCAGGGATGGAGGGAACAGGTGAAACACAGGACAGAGATGCCAGCTGGGGCTTCTCTGGTGACCCTGTGTGGGTATCCAGAAGGACCAGACTGTGACCACTGGCTCCAGAGATCTGCTGTCCCCTCACTGCCTCCCTGGGAGATCTCTAGGTCACAGCAGGCTTCACCACCTCTTTGGGAGCTATTTTGGGGCTGTTTCTCATCTTCAGTCTGCACCTCCTCAGCTGACACGGGCCCATATGCTCCCATATTCTCTGACAGCAGCCACCCCTGCTCTCCTCTGTCCCCTGCTCCCACTTCCAGACAGGTCTGGGTGCAAGAATCACCGTACCCTTACCTGGTCACAGAGATGAAGGGCAGTCAGGAGCATGAAGGCCCCCGTTGTGGGTCTGTACAGCCTCCAGTAGTGCTTTTGTAAATTTTTAGACTTTAAAAACCTGCAGCAGGAGAGAGGAAAGCACTGAGGAGTTGCTGGCTGTGGTGTTTCAAGCAAGGCACACCTTGTCCCCCTGTGGCTCATGTGGCATCTTCCCTCCTTGCAGCAGCTTGAGGCCATATGAGGCATTTCAGAAAAGCCCAGAACTTTCCAGCACCTGCACTGCAACCTAAGCCCAGCTCTGCCCCAGCTTTGTGCATGTGGAAGGTCTTGAGGCAGTGGGGGTAAAGAGGGGATGGATTAAAGGATCTCGTAGGTTAAAGCCCACCACTCTTAAATCTGCCCTTTGCTCTGCAGTGCTGAGGTGGCTTTGAGGCTCCCTGGTATATCCTGCTCCCCCATCCACATCTAGGAATGGAATGAGACACAGGAAAGGTGCAGAGGAGTCACAAAACCTGCCAGGAGCTGCACTGTGTTATGCCAGGAGTGGTTAGGAAAGTAGGAGTAAACACTGGGAAAAAATAGCATGGAATGCTCTTGGTCTTGGAAAGGGCTGGCCAGGAAAATCAAGCCTGTTAGAGCACACAACCTGCAGCTCACCTGTTTTTCATGTATCTGAGGAAATCGGGGTGAACCACCAGGTATTTGTCCATTGTGAAATCCTTATTGAATTTCTGCCGGGGCTTCTGCCTAAGGACAGGAATGGGGAGACTCAAGACAAGTTCCTACTCCTCATCACAGCTGGAAAGGATCAGCCCTGATGCACTTGATGGTAAGAGAAGAACCACAAACACTGTGAAGATAATTCTGTAACATTTCCCACAATGACAAATCCTCCGTAGCCTGTGTGCATTGCAGAGGAAGAGATCAGGGAGGAGAGGCAACAAAAGGAGACAGGAATATCAAAAGCATGTGTTTGTACAGGCAAAAATTAGTGAAAGCAGGCCTTCATCCATGAGCAGGCCACACCAGCCCAGCCAGCAGCACGTGTTCATGCCCAAAAGCCACAAAGCTTTCTCTGAGCTCTGGCCACACATCATTTCAGCTGCCTCTGTGAAGGAGGTGTATGGACTACAGCAGTGCTCAGAGCTGGGGGGGAAATGAGAGATTTCTGCCTGCAAGTCTGTACCCTGGCCTTGTCCTCCATGGGGCTGAGCAGTGGGAGAGGAGAGGAGCACAACAGAGAGCTCGCCATGGAGGGGTAGAGGGGGCTGTGGTTTCTTTTACCTGCCGAGGTTCAAGAATCCTTTCCTGATGTCCTTGTTGAGCAGAAGAGCCTTCAGCCACTCATAGTCCCTTGCTCCCTCCAGGAAGTGAATGTATCTGACACGCTAAGAAAACAAGTGAGCATTAATGAACAGCACTTCAAAAAAAAAAAAAAAAAATGCAAGCAGGCATCTTGGCTCACTGAGTTTCTCGGACACACATCTGCAGCTCTCAACCAGAATGGAGATAACACCTGATGTGCAGCTCCTTCTACCTGCCACAAGGCTGTGGATGTGACAGTCTGGTCAGAGAGAGAGGAAACCAAATAAATTTTCCCAGGAATTGTTCTGGGGAGTTTCGAGAAGGGTGAGAGAATGAATTAAAACAATCTTGCAGCTGGTGTTTTGAACAGTTGTTTTCTCCTAAGATGTTTACCAAAGGGTGTCTTCTCAATTAGCCAGTGGTGTGAAGGGGTGTTAATTAAGTGAACAATCAAGTCCACCTGTATCAGAATGGTGTATAAAAATGGATGGGTTTCTAATAAACCTGAATTAGCCTGCTGAAGAGAGTTAATGTGCTGCCTTCCCTCCCATCCCTGACCAGCGGTGGCACAAGGCTGGGGTGGCACAAGGCTGGGGTGGCAGTGCCACAGTTTGCCACAGCAAACACTCACAGTGAGCCAGGGCAGTGCAGGTCCCCTCACTGAGGGTGATGCTAAAGGGCTGCCCCTTTGCTCCTCGTGGCAGAGCAGAACTGAAGCACGCAGACAAACAGCATCCTCTTAAAGCTGTGCATGCACACAGCAGGGACCTCACTCACTTTATCCCATGGGATGCTGCTGAACCCTCTGTGTCCCAAGATCTGAAGAGAGGAAGCCAGGGAGAAGGCCGTGAATCCATAAAAGGAGGTTTTGGTTCCCACATCTTTTTCATAACCCTTGATTACAGCCCCGCTCACCCTGGCCAGGGAAATAAAACAGAGGAGCAGAGTTAGGTGACCACTGAAACCTCTCCCATGCACATTCCTAATAGGAAAAGACAGTGTTATCCCAGAGGAAGGGTAGACTAGGCCCATTCTGATTGGGACCCTGAACTGCAGGAGAGCCCCTGCTGTGGAAATGGCTCTTCATGGCTCATTTGTGACCACAGGCTTTGGATATTTAGTAACTTTCCAATTATTTTTGGACTTTTTTTTTCTCCTGCCATCCATCATTTTGGCACTTGGGAATGAGTGGAATACTAGAAGAGATGAAGTGACCCAGCCACAGTCAGGGGCTAGCCACAGTAAGCTAGCTGTGCATCTTCTGAGAACCAAGGCAGCCTTACCTGAAGACATAGTCATGGGAGTCAATCTCCTGGCCCATCCCAGAGTTATTCAGTATTCCTCCATTCCCCACAACAGCACAGCTGATGCATGTGGGCACGCTGCTGTCATGGTTGGCCAGGAGCAGCTGCTGGTGGGGCTTTGGGGGCAGCAGGGATATGACCTCCTTTACCACTGTGAAGCAAACACAGTGGTGAGTTATCAAGAGCCTTTGGGATGGACACAGTGAAACCACCAGAGTTTCCACATGAGATCCTCCTAGACTGACGCCTTTGATGGGGAGATGCTGCAAACCTCAGCATAATGTTCCTGTTAGGAGGCTGAAAGTCCCATCCTGCCAAGCCCTGAGGGACTCACGTGAATAATTCAGGTCCATGAAGCCATAGGGGGGTGTAAAATGCTCCAGGCGGTTCCATTCACTGTCATTGAAGTATCTCTTGTCTATGAAGAGTGTGATGTTGGGCAGGAAAAGATCCCGCAGCCAGTCAGATTTGGCAGCCCTGGCCCTCACTGATTCAGAGCAGGTCTTGAAAAACAAAAAGGAAACAGTAATGACTGATGAGCAGGGCTGATAGACCTGAGTGCCAGTGCTTGTGTGCCTGTCTGTGGCAGGACCAAAGGGAAACAGAGAAATTCCAGTGGCACCATTTCCCTCGTGATCCCCATCACTGGGAACATGAAGCACAATTTTAGCATTACATCCATAACCAGCTGGTGAAATGTCACCCAGAAGGGAGCCAGGATGACTCCAAATCTCTGAGACTTTCCTCTTCAGAACAACAGGCCTGTCATGCTTAAATGTTTCACTGGCTTTGGGCCTCATTATCTGATGCAAATTAACATTGGTAATAGGTCTAACCTAAATGCATCAAATAAGGCTGTAAGCACTAGGAATATGCTGCAATAATATATCCATGCTACAATGAGCAGTCCCTGTTGGCAACACACCTCACCAGGTCCTCAGAGTCCACCCGAGGAAACACTGACGAACAAATGAAATCAAATCAGCATTGCCACTCCCTTTAAGGGTAAGAAAAAAATGTGCAACAACTTGTTCAATGTCATAAATAAATCAGTGAAATGTGCAGCTGAGAAAGGGACCCAAGCCAGCTTATCCTACAAGGGAGGTCTCACTGCAGCTGGCAAGAGTGAGGCTGTGTGTGCAGATGGAAAACAAACAGCTCCACTGCACTGAATTTTCTGCTGAGTCAATTTGGGCTAGACTTTCTTAGACACCTTCCCCAAGCACCTACTGAAAGACAAAATAGAGATCAAATGAACCCTCATGCCCAGCTCAAATCCCCTGCATTGCCAAAGCCTTGCTGAGTGCTCTGTGGCCGAGCTGGGGTCTCTGCAGTGGATGAGGATGACAGTCCTGTCACAGCCTGAGGAGACACCCTCATTCTGCCTGTCAGCACAGGAGCACACTGAGGACAACACTGCCCAGGGTTTCATGGGGCCATCATTTCACTCACAGCATATTTCATGTCCATAAGCATGGGACATTCCTGTCCTGCTCAAGCAGGTGCTGTCCAAGGCTTGGTACTTCTTGTGCCTCAGAGCTAGACTGATGGGGAGATGCTGCAAACCTCATCTGGATCAGTACCAGAGGAACAAGGGAAAACTCTGATCATGTAGGAAATTAAGGAGGGGAGAGTGTTCCTAATGACTCCCTCTCTCTGCAGAATTACAGATCAGGTTTGGGAGTGAGACACAACATGTTAGAAGGTGACCCACCTGTTCCAAGCCTTCCAGAAACAGGGATGCCAGGGAATACTGCTCTGGGTAGTCTTTACAAAGATTTACCAGCATAGGATGGGGGACAGAGACAGTATGAGACACCACAACCTGTCCCTGCTGCTTGCTGAGAACTTTGTTGGAGTTTACTGCTTTCCTAAAGGCCCTGTTCCTGGACATTAGTAATTAAGATATGCTCAAATTTAATTAACCTGAGTCTTCATGTGAATGCAGATGTTGTATATAGAGGTCTTCCTGTCTGGGTCCCACCAGCATCTGCATACAACAGTGAGTGACCTACCAGCTCTGAAATCATCCCCAGCTGCAAAGGGCCCACATGCCCAGGGGCCAGCAGACAAGGAGGTCAGTGGGAAGGCACCATTCTTGGTGACCACCTGCACCACCCCACCTACCGAGGGTGGGGATGAGTTATCCAGCAGGTACTCGTCCTCGAAATCCCACTGTGGCTCAGATGTGAAGTTAGCAGAGCTCAGTTTCCTCTTCTGTGTCACAGCAGCAGCCTGAGGGGTAGGTCTTGCAGTTTTCATTGATGCAGGAGGTGCTTTGGGTTTTGTTTGGTCTTCAGATGTGTTGTTCTCACGTGCTCCCGTCACCACTTTGGATTTTGTTTGGTCTTTGGATGTATTGTTCTCTTGTGCTCCCTTCACCACAGAGGGTGGTTCCACTGTTGCCTTCTCATTGCCTCCCTTCTCCCTGGGAAGTGGTTTCACTGTTGTCTTTTCCTTGGCTTCTTCCACCCATGGAGCTGGCCTCACTGTTGTTTCCCCCTTGTTTTCCTGCACCACTGGGGTTGTTTTCGCTGTTGTCTTCTTGATTCCCTCCAACTGGGGTGGTGGTTTCACAGCCGTATTCTCCTTGGCTTCCTTAATAATCATAACTGGTCTCATTGGTTCCTTCTGCTCCTCCTTTCCATTCCATCTTGGTGTCTTCTCCACCACATCATTGAGTCTTGTCATGTGTCCTCCCAAAGTCACCTTTGAAATGCTCCTGGAGTTCCCATTATCAGAATAGTTTAAACCCTGTTGCTCTTGGGGGTCCACTTCTTGTGTCTCTGGGGCATGTTGGAAAATGTTCCATTTCCTGAATGCAATCAAAGGAAAAGCAGATACATCACACACACTTAACACTGAACACCCTTCAGCTCATTTCTAGTGCTCTTGACTCTGAGCATCTCTCTGTGCTTTAGAGCAATTTCATTTTAAACTTTGCCAAAATGTTATTCAACTTCCTACACCGTTCTAGCCCGAACGCTGCTTATCTCCCCGCTAGGCAAATCCCAGAGGCACACATTGTCTCCTCAGCACTTGGCACATGGAGCATTCACACTGGCAGGAACTGCCAAGCAGTACAGCCCAGCTCTGCCACGCACTGGGCAGGTCCCCTGGCAATGTCCCCGGAGCACGGCGGGGTTGGTTTGGAGATCCTGAGCTCAGGACACGGCTCCCACCATGGAGGCACCATCTGCCTCTCTCCTCTGCCAGCACAGCCCTGTGCTGCAGCAACAGAGCAGCAAGAGCTTCCAGAATTCAGGAAGGGAAGGCTAAGAAGAAGTGAAACTCACTTCTTTACCCTACATCACCTCTTGAGCTTTTGGGGCAACATGGCACTTTTTTCTCTCCCTCTCCACCTTGATCAGGTAGTGCAAGGGCATCACACAGCACTCACCAGGCGCATCTGTCTGAAGGCAGACACTGTGAAGCTATTAAAATGCAAAAATCTCTACATTTTTAGCACTTGCCTCTAATACTGCAGCTGCCCTGTTGCCTGATTCAGAGGCACAGGCAGGTACAAGGTTATCACAGGAGGACACATCTGCCAACAGCAGAAGAGCCACCTGCAACAGAACTGTGCTGAAACCCAGGAAAAACAACCAAAGCAGAATTGGTGGAGTTTTGTCCTCAACATTCCCTCTTCTCTGCGCATGGCTGGAGGGTAGAACAAGAAAAAGGAAGGTGAAAAATACCTGCAGCTGAGCTTTTCTGTACAGCAAGGCTTTTCAGGATAAACCCTGGCTGTGGCAGGCTGATCCCACACTCATGCTCGGCCTGTGCATGACGCACTGGTTTCGGAATGCTGTGATTGCTTTCCGAGTGATAAATGGGACAAAAAACACTTCTTCAGATAACAGGCTGCAGATAGCAGCTCCATTGCTGCTGAAATGTGATGGATATCACACCACTGTGAAAGTGTTCAGGAAATGATCAGCTAAGGAGGCTTTTAAAAATCGTTTCATATCAGATAAATACAAGGCTAAAAAAGAGAGCTTGTAGCAAATGGCCTATCAGCTCTGCCTCTCTCCTAATCATTAGCCAGTTTCAACCAAGTGTGCAGCATGTGCTTTCTATTATAGTGTTTCATGTATAAACTTATGTCACTGTTTATTGCACAATAGGAGGAAAGATTTTATATTGACACTTTAAATAAAGAGAAATTTCGTAAGGTAGCTCAGGCAGATCTTAAATCCCTTGGTGAATTTTTGCTGTATTTTTAAGATGATGTTTGAAACTTTGAAATAAAGTGCAGAGAACAAATGAAACGGGAATTTCAATATGAGAAACCATCCCCTGCTCCAGGCTTTCCCTGTGTGCTGTCTTGCGGGGCAGATTCCACCTCAGTCTGTTACACTTCAAATGCTGTGCCAGAGACCAAAAATGTAAAACCAAGGACTCTTCACATCCCAAACCTTGCTCCCTGCACTCAGGCCCACATGGCCAGGCACTTGTGCTTGCACAGGACCCTGCTCTCCTGAGCAGCATTTTAAATCCAGACAAATTGTCAAAGCAGCTGGGTGAATTTCAGGCTTTAGAGTCCAGCTGGCAAACAACTGCAAAAGCTCAGTGACATTTCCTGTCATTTTCCTCCCCTTTTACAAAGCCCAAGGACAAATAGAGGATAAAGCCATGAAAATGCTGCTTTGTGTATTCTACCTGACATACAAGGTGCAGAAATAGAACTGCCACACAGACAACCACACAGAGCTCATACCTTGTTGTGTTTTATTTAAATTGCATAAATACAGGCATTTCCATTCTCTGAAACTACAACAGAAGGAAATTGCTCCAAGCAGATAAATATGAAGAGCCACTTCTTCTTCCAGCTCTGGCACTGATGGGCTCTGGGATCAAGGAGAACTCCACTTCTCTACACCTCCTCCTGCTCTCCTTTCCCTCCCACCTCCTTTGTGCAGGTTCCAAGCTCTCCAAATTGACAGCTGTCCTCAAAGCGTGATCTCAAGCTGCTGGAGCTGAGCTGAACTCAAGTCACCTCCAGAAGAGCTGCAGATGTTCCCAGCCTCACTCCTCCTGCAATTCCCTCCATACCCATTCCTGTAGGATTTACTTGACTATTTATATAAAATAGATACCAAGATATCATGTCTACATGACATTGCAGTATGCAGCATATTTTGTGTTAGGAATCAGCTGCTAAACCTGCTATAAATTCAAAGCCATCCCACCAAATTCACTGTCCACCAATGCAATCTGGATTAGGGCTGAAAAAGGTCCTCTGGGAGCCAACAGGAAAAGCAAATACTGGGTAGTGACAAAGTATGAAAATGTAAGATTAGTGAACCAAAAGGTGCTTTAGACAGCTACAAAAGGAAGCCCTGGAAAACAGTGAGCTAAGAGAAGCAGGTTTTTGACTGTGGACCTTCCAAGGCCATGCTCTGCTAAGGTGGTCACCTAACTCAGATCAGAAGTGCAAGTTTCAGGGTAAAAAAAGACAGAGAGACAGAAAGTGAGCACAAGCCCCCACACCAGACAGTGCATGCCACGAAGGAACAGGTCCCTTACCTGAAAATCTTTGTCTTGGCCAAGTCAAACAAGGAGCTGGAATTGCCAACGAAGAGGTAGAACTGTGCTACAACAAGGAGGCAAATCAGGGCTTTGGCGATTTTCGGGAGCCGTACCCTGGAGCAGCGCATGGCGAGGTGGCAGAGGCGCTCGCCAGGCACTGCCTCACCAAGGTGTGTGCAGGACTGGGCTGGTCTTCCCTCTGGATTTCCCTACAGCAACGTGCACACCCTGTCTCCCAGCACCCCCAGACACTGCACACAGATTGAATTGCTCAGGAAAGGCATCAGTTTTGTACTGTTCCCGTTCATCACATCATCAGGGAAAGGAAAGCTTTTTACTGCAAACAATGGAAGTATCCTGTATTTTTCTTAATGACTTTGGCCTGCCCTAAAATGGAAACTCTTTATCTCTAACCTGGGAATGAATGTGAACTTTGGAAGTCGCCATAGTTACAATCCAGGAAACTTTCAGAGCACCACCTGCCCACGATTTTAGACATAACCATAAACATATTCTTCATGCAGTAATTGCCTGCAGCTCCGATCCAGAAGCAATCCCTGTCCCCTAAATGCTAATGGCTAGAGACACACCCATTTTACTTTGTGGCTGGGAGGCAACCCAACAAATCAAAGTAAGACTTGGTGCAAATCCACCACAGAAAAGAGGAGTTTGTGTTATGAAAATCCCCAGTCAGCGTGAAATCAATCTTTGGCAGTTGAGATTATATCACCCCACCAGCAGAGGGAAAGATTTGCAAAGGTGGACACCACAGCCAGAGAAATGTTCACTTCTACCAGGGCTGTAGTTTCCCAGCAAAGGGCTATTTTAACTTTCTAAGTTGTTAAACATTAACCATGAAAGGTCAAGGGGAGATGGCCATACTGCTTCTTAGCATAGGCTGCTTTCACACAGCTCTCATAAAAAATGAAGCTCAGATAAAAAAAAGGTTTTGCTGACAGTATCTCAAATCTCAAAAGCACTCACACTGTTACTGAATACCCAGAGAACTGAAGGTGCCTGTTTTATGTCACAGCAAAGCCAGTCAACAGGTTTCACAGCTACAAGACTTTTTTTGTTAATAGGGGTCCCAAAGGGAAATTCTGGAGGCAGGAAACATTTTCCTTCTCCATGTAACATTACTGCAAAACCAAGAGCCACAAGGGATAGAAAAATTCCTACAAGCAGAAAAATATGGATTTCTTTGCTTTTCAGGATCTGCGCTGGTGATTGTGGAGAATTGTCTGTAGCACTCTTCGTTCAGGAGGGATTGTGTTTGGGGGAATATCCAAATCTCTGGCAAGCACATTAGCCAAAAGCAAGCTTGGTATATGCAAAACAGGGCTTTTCACCTTTTTGGTGTAAGAAAAGAAAACCTAACTCCCCCCATCAGAGTACGGACTTTCCTTGGAGCATCATTTCCTCACCATCCACCCCCAGGGCTGAGATCAGTCTGTCAGAACTGAGGCACCAGGCTGGTTTGCCCAAACAGATTGGGAAATGGGGATGTATTGGAACTCTCCAAGAATGACCTGGTAAAAACTGAGGTCAAGAGCAGAGCTGGTCTCTTAAACAGCTCCATAAGGAGGAAGATTCTTGGGATCCACAGGGCTCCCAGCCCATGGGCAGGAAGGTACAAAGCAAAGACTGCACAATGCACAGGGCCTGGCCTCTCAAGGGCAACAGCATACTTTTCCAAATGCATGTTTCTCTGCAGCCCTACCTGCATTCCCACCTGCACTCACAGGAGATGCTGCTTCATTTATGGTATAGAGACCCCAAGCCCAGTACTGCTGGTGTGTCCAGTGCCCACAGCAGAAGTTCTTCCATTCTTCAGTATTGTAAAAACAAGATGACTTTTTTATCTAAGCAAACTGCTCCTGGGATCATTGAGTAAAGATGATTTTCTGTCAGTCCTTTTTGATCTCCAATATCCATTTAATTCCACATCCACTTCACTAATCCTTAGTTACATCCTGGACATATAAAAGGCAGATTTTCCTTGGGATTTTTTTATTAATTCATAAACAAACTTGATTGTCATTAAATCCTACACTGTATGTGTTGAGGGTGTCAGCTGGCAAGCTGGCATTTGAACTGTGCCATAAACTTACCTGTGTGCACGTTTTTCACCGGGCTGTGTATCAAATTTTGTTTACTTGCCCGTGCCTTGTGTGCTTTCCACTCTCCCATGTCTCTGGTCTACAGAACAGAACATCACAAGATGTGCTCAAGAACAGAAGTGTTCTACAGATCAATCAGTCTTAGCTGCAGGATAAATTTGTCTTTCAGTGATGTCTACAATCTACCAAAAGCAGTGTTTGACTGGAAGCCAGTGGAATAAAGCTGCTAAAGAAGCTGGGGGTGTTTGGACATGTTCACAGTATTATTTGATGATGTAAGAACTGAGTTACAAGTGGGGGAGAAAAATAATGACATTGTCTGCAGCTGCTCAGTGGCCATGCCTCGGGGCTAGCAAAGCCTTGGCTTGGCACCCTCAGGTTCTTGTTTTAACCCTCCCTTTTCAGCAGTCATCTTCAGAAGCAAATGCTTTCAGGCTGGGAATCTGGAGGGGAAGAAACTACAAGATCAAACTCTGCACAGCTATTTGTCTTGTTTTTAGCAAATGAAGCTGATAGCCCAGAAACTCCCAAGCTTGCCATAACTCCACACTCACTGGCCACTTTCCAGCTAGTTCCTTCCCTTCTGCACCAAACCTTCTCTCAAAAACTAAACAAGCATCCAGAGACAACAGCATTTGTTGAACCAAAGCCCCCACATCTTATACAGTGGCACTTTCAAGAATACCCAGAGTTCTGTCACAGAGTCAGGAGTCAGGGAAAGCTCTGTGAGCCATCAATTACTAGGAGTAGGACTGAGTCACAGGCAATCACAAAACAGTATCTTACACCACACAGGCTGCTGGTTTTCTCTCTGATAAAAGGGTTATAGGAGCACTGCCAAGGAAGACAAATGGCAGAGGCAATGATCCACAACGTCCTCTCCTCCATGGGATTGCAGTTATATCCTTATGACAGCGTTATAAAACAAACCAATAAAGTTCTAAGACCATTAGAAAAAGGTCACACACATTACAGTAGGAAATACCTATTTCAGATCTTATCTGGAGCTATGAAGACAAACAGTATTCAAACATCAGAGTTCTGGCCTCTGGAACTTTGGCTTCCTCTGAGGCATGTGCCTTTTCTTCCCCCACAGTGAAGTTTAATCAACACTGAAAGCTTTTTTTCCCCTGTGAATCCAGGCCAGCTCAGTGCACTCCCTCGAGCCAACAAATACTCATCCCACAGGTGAAACAGAGATTAACTCTTGGTGGCTGGGGGATCGAGGGAAGTTTTAAATAAGATGCTAAAAAAAAAATTTTGGTCAGAAAATAGGAGTTTTCTCATCAGTAGTCATTAGGTAAGTTCAGCCAGGCTCAGGAATGCTGGAGAACAGGTGGATCACAACACACGGGATTTGTGAGAGATTTGCGAATAGAAAAGGGCTGAGCACATCCTTAACCCTGCCCGGAGCAAACAGCGCCCGAGATGTTCCGCCGGAGCTCTGCGGGCCCTCTCTGCTGTTTGTACAACACAACAGCACCATCCAGAGGATGAACACTGCTGCTCCACCTTCCCTTTCCCCACTTTGCAGGATATCACCTTTATTCCAACTGGGAGAGCTGCAGGGCTGCGTTCAAGTTCCCCTTGGGTGAGCAAACGTGAGCCACTGCAGGAGGGCGGTGATGAAGATGTGCAGAAAAAAACCCCACTGCTGTTCCTTCTGCTGTGTGGGGATCCAGGGCTTCCCTCTGGCTGCCCTGGCAGGTCTGGGACCCTGGCAGGGGTCAGGAACCCCCCTGGACAGAGCCCCCAGAGACACTGCCTGTGATCTCTGTCCATGGAAAAGAGTTTTCAATCTTACAGGATTAATTACAAGCTCTGAGTGTTTGATATAAATAATAATTAAGTGTGGCACGGGTGCAAAAGTAAAATTTTAGGATTCTGGATAAGGGGTCCAAAGGGCACAAGATGGAGGAAATTGGGTGTGCCTTGTCCTTTTCCTCCTTCTTCATGCCCTCCATGTTTCACTGTGGTGTTGGCATTTTTCTGTTGGTTCAGGCTGGGGACACACTGTCCAACGTAGGTGACAGATATTGGCACGTTATTGTAAATCCAGCACAGGTAGTTTCTGGTATTTAATGTTTGTACCATCCCACTGAGGGCAGAGCCCCACACGCTGCCCTGCAGGACAGAGCTGCGGCAGGGCAGCAGAACATGTTAGAGATAAACAGAATAAACAACCTTGAAACAGCACAGACGAATTATGGCTTCTGCTTTGGCAGTGGGGCTGACAGAGACTTTCTACAATCCCAGAATCATCAATACCTCAGATTCCAACACTGCTGCTGCCAGGCAGCACCACCTCTCTGCAAATGCTCCTTCCTGCAGGGCTGCAATCCCTTCACCAGTGCAGAGCAGGAAAAACTGACTGCCCTGTGAGGAATCAGCATCCTGCCCTTGATTTCACCACAGCCCGTGGTGGTGCAGTGAGTCCCCAGCTGAATTTCCCTGTGTAATTAAATTAGACACAATAGGTCATGTACACAGAGCCAAGGATCTCTAATTCTGGAGGGTCAGAAGATGGTGGGGATGGTGAGGAACTCACTGTTCTCATGGATCCACCAGAATCCAAAGATTATTTGGGTTTGATCCCATAAATGTGGCAGGGTGCAGATGTCTGTGTCCCACTGGGGAGGCTCACAGCCTCCCTGCCATGCCTGGCCCAGTCCCACTGCCCATTTTGGACATGTGCTGGTGCTGTTTGTGCTTCCCCAGGGTGACTCAGCTGCCTGCCCCATCTCCCCCTGCAGCAGCATCCCTAACTTGTTTCAACCCTGAAAAATCACAATCCCCACTGCAGGTTTAGCAGCAGCTTTTCATGGAAAACAAAATCAATTATCCCCTTCCTTTGAGACAAATTAAGATGAAACAAACTATGAAATGCTTCCACTTTGTGTTTATTGTTCCTAGTGCAATTTAGCATTCCCAACAGCTGAGCACACCGTGACTCAGGACAGCACAAACCTCAATGGCTGCATTCCTGACCTACTTTGGGAATTAAGAAAGAATTTCAGACAGGAGAATTTCCCCTTTAGGTTAAAAAAAAAAAAGTGTCTTACAGCTATTCCAGAAGTGATGCCTGTTGTCTGGGATCCAGTGACTGGATGAACTGAATAAGATCTATTCAAATTTTTAAATAAAAGAAACAACAAACCAAAACACAGAGATCCAGGTTTTAAAAAAAAAAAAAATCTGGAATGAGTCAATAAAGGAAATTTAATAGGTGAGGGAGGCAAAGGCAGGGGAAGATAAAAATGAGCAGAATTCCCTACTGGCTGTGCAGGTAGCTCTGATAGGGATCTGAGATTTCTTTACAGATTGTTTAAATGAGCTTTTTGCAGGGGTTGCTGCTGGACTTGGTGAACCTTGGGCTCCATGATGTGACTGCAGGTGTTCCCCCCTCTGGAGCTGGTGTCAGTTCAGGGAGTTTGATTTGTCCCAGCAGATCCTTGCTGTTAAATATGTATTAGACAGGTGAATTAATGTGAATTTTCCTATATAAAAGAGGTAACTTTTCACTCATGGGGCAGTTTGATTTGTGGAAACCTCCCCTATGCCTGTGCACAGAACAAACAATGCAGAATAAGCAATGTGTCCCTGCTCAGGCAGACTCTGTGTCTGTGATCAGAGCGATGCCTTGAGAAGGCTGATCTAGAGCAGAGCCAGACAGAGCTAAAGAATAAATTAGGGATTTATTAAAAGGATCTCCTCCATGGATTCACCTTGGGCAGCACCAGAGCCCAGCCAGGGCTGCACCCAAGATGAACCAAAATGGTCCCAAAATGCACAACTGCTCACTGGGGCTCTCCCTGGGATCAGTTCTGCTCCATTGGCACCTTGGAGTTCATTGTCCCATTCCAGCTTTAGCCCAGGCAGTCCCATCCTGCTTGTTTTTCTCTCTCCAGCCCACGGTGTTTGTGCTTCTGGGCACATAAGAAATATAAAAATATTTTGGAAATAAACTGTGACGCCTGCAAGACAAAGACTAAAAATCAACTACACATTACCTCTCCTGTACTTGCTTTCATGAAGAGTTTTGGAAAAGATCCCGATTTCAGTTTTGAGCTAGGGACAAGCCCCATACACAATTTTTCTACATTTCTCTTTGCACAGCTTGACAAAGGAAACTATGTCCTAGGGACACAGCAAGCTAGAGTGATATTTCACATCATGGGACTACTTTTCCCACTTAATTTGTTCATGTTGAATAAGAAGAGGTAATTTTCAGACTTGACATTTAAATTAAGTCATGATTGGTAGTAAAACCAGCTTGAACTCATTATAAATATGCCTTGACCTAAGTGAAAACAATTAGAAGATAAAATTATTCTTAGAAGTCTAGGTGCCTGATGTTCTAGAATACACTTTACTGGGAGACAGCAACCAGATAATGAAATATTAGGATTCTTGGACTGAAGAGGACTACACAAAATAAAGCAGAACTAATTTTTTAAGAGATCATTCCCTAAAATTGGGTCAGAAAATGATGCCTCCCTTTGTGAGCAGTTACTAAAACCAAGAAAATCCTTCCTGATAAGAAAGTATTTAACAGGATTTCATAGGAGAGATAAGCACACCAGAAGACATTTAGTTATAATTAGGAATGCTCATTGATTTACTCCATTCAAACCACCAAGGACTGCTCAAGACTGTTCAAAATACTTGATAAAAATCACAGAGATTTCCTAAGTATGTAGTTTCCCATAAAATTTTGTATGAGAAGAGCAGGATCTGAGGTGGACACAACCATCCTTGTGATGAACCCAGCAGCCTCTCTGTGGTCCTTTCAGGAGTGTCAGGAGATGTTTGTGTTTCCAGGCTGGATTTGCTGCTGCTTGCTCAGGCGTGAGGATGATCTCAATGAGGTCAGCCAGAACCAGCTTGGGTTGGTTTCAAACGCCAGCCTGAAGGAGGATGAAGTGTTCCTTCCAGGGAGATGAGGGGCACTACACCCTGATCAGGGCACTGATGCCTTGCTTTTGGCTGTTTGTTTTCTAACTGTAGGGTTGGAAGCTTCCCTGCCAAGAGAGGTTGTGCAGTCTCCATCTTTGGAGCTTTCCAAGACCCAACAGGATAAAGCCCTGAGTAACCCACTTTGGTCTCACAGCTTTAAGCAGGAGGTTGGACTAAAGTACCCTTCAACCTGAGTTATTCTGTTATTTTCATCCATTTTACACCATCATCTTTGGCTTTCTTCAGATGTCAAACTGAGAAAAACTAGGCTTGAAAGTTCATTTGCATAAAGCATGGCCAGAAAAAAAAGTGAGTTTAACTGCTTTGTAGCACTGAGACATAAGACCCAGCCAGAAAGAGGTAAGAAATCACTGTACGAGATGATAGTTCTACAAAGAAAAATTATTAAAAGGCTGAGGAATTACAAGTCTTTTGAAATACATATCACAGGCCTATATGTGTTTGCAAAACAATCTGGAACTGCGAAATAACTACTGAGACACTTTTAAAGCACTACAGCCTCCAGTGTCCTGCAGAACAAGGGCTGAGATGGCTTTTGGGCACAGCCTCCCCTGGCTGCAGGGTTATATATCGTACAGTCTGAGCTGCTCCTTCATGTCCCCTTCTGACATCTCTCCAAAGGTGTCACTTTTTTCCTTCATCAGTCTGAAGATGGCAGCCAGCTGCTCTCTCTGAACCCTGTCGAGAAGAAAAGGAGAAGTAGGAATAGCCAGTCCAGGAGCAAGAACATCACTGTCACATGAAACACGGAGCCAAAGGCACTGTGCAAACCCTCCTGGCTGCAGGAAATCTGTCCCTGTGAGATAAGGCAGAGATAGCCCCTGGTTCTCCTTCCTCCCCCTTCCCATCTATCCCATCACCCTGCACGTCTCTCTGCAACTCCCTAAACGTGGAGATAAACCAGCCTGCTTTAACACTGGCTTTGGAGTTCCTTAGGGCTTATCTGTGCTCAAACTTTTCAAGATAACTCGACATGTGGAATTTTATATGACCAACATGTGCCAGTTTAGCAGACTCCATAACAAACCTGGATTAAGATTCAACAGCCCAGTGTGCTTTCCTTCTGTAACGAGAGGATGTAGATAGGGAATCATTCAGAAATAGCTATTAAATTTTAGATGCATATCCCAACTAAAAACTAGAGAGCAGACTACCTCCCAGGCTGGACATGATGTTAATCAGCCACTGGAAGATAAGGTCACGGGTAGGAATTTGCTTTGATTTGAGTTTGTATGCCAGTGTCCAATGGTGAGATGGACCCAGGTAGCCAGTCCAGCAGTGAGGTGGTCCCTGTGTAGGCAGAGGCTGACCAGTGGATCACCTAGCTCAGATTTTTAATCCCCAGGCAGCCCCATAGTAGATAATTAACCCCCTTCTCCCCGTAACAGAAGATATCTTGATTTTTCCCTACCCTGAACCAGTAAACCATTGTACCTCCCATGAAGATTGGTATCTGTGACAGGATTTATTTGTAGGAGGATTTATTCTGCTCATCACTGGGGGGTGGGCAGCACAGGAGTGCCATTTGGTGGCAGGTAGCTCATGAACTGATGTAACTACACAAAATTCCCTTTTGGGGCAAGATGAAAATTCCCTTTTGGGGCACGTGGCTCCAGGCAGGGCTGGCTGAGGGATGCAATGTTCCCACTGGCAGACTCCTGCCTGCTGGGGATCAGGCTGCTCTATTGCCTAGCACATCTCCCTCCTACCTCTCCTGTGGGAGACAGAAAGAACTAATGGGGATGTGGTG